AATAGGCCTAATAGCTATAGTAAAGCTAAGTAATAAAAGCTTCTTAGTATATTCTTAAAGATTATAATATCTAAAATAAAATTAGCTTCTATACTAATAATAATTATAGCTTAAATAAAAGCTCTGCTATTTACTTAGTAAATATCTATAAGGGAAAAGTATTAACTAAAAGATAAAGAAATAAAGAATTTAATATTATAGCTATGTTATTAATCTTGCTATTTAAGCCTTTCTTTTTATAAACTTTAAAAAAGTTATAAAAGTAGCTTTAAAGTAAATTAAGAGTAATAATAAAATTATATTTAATATTAACTTTATTACTAGAGTTAAGATATAAAAAATATTAAATTAGTAATATTTAAGTTTTTTTAGTAAAGTCTATAATATCTCAATTTATATATATAAGAATAATTACTATTGAAATTTATTTAAGAAGTATACTAGAAGGTTACTAAAGCTTAATAATAATATATATTAAAACTTATAATTTTTTTTTTAGATATTACTCTTAATCTCTAAGAATATATAGAATAATATTAAAGAAAGTATTAATTATAAAAACTTATAAAATAATTATTTTATTTTTAATAAGTAGAATATTCTAAAAGAAATATATACTTTTCTTTAATTATTCTAGAAGATTATTTAATTTATAAAAAGTTACTATACTATTCTTAACTATATATTTTTTATTATAGATATTTTTTATAAATATTATATATAAGCTTTTTAAAAATACTATAATAATTATTTACTTTAAAGTTATATTATAGCCTTTTAAATAATATTTAATAAATATTACTAGCTTATAAATAAAAATTCTATTTATAATATAATAATAAAGCTTTATATATTATAGTATATAATTTATATTATATATAACTAATTTAAGTTATAATATAAATTTATTTTTAATAATATAATAAAATTCTAGAAAAATTACTATTAAAGGCTATTAATTACTATTAATTATAATATCTAAATTAAAAGATAAATTATAGCTGCTTAATAAATATAACCTATTAACTTAAGAATTTAATATTATTAATCTAGTAATAAATAAGCTTAATAAATATAAATTCTTTATTATATAGCTACTTATTACTATTAACTATTTCCTACTTACTTAATAGCTTTAAAAAGAATAGCAATAATAATATCTCTATTTCTTTAAATAATACTTTTAATAATTTAAATTATTAAAAAAACTATTAATTTAAATTATAATCTTAATTAATAATTATATTTAATATTCTCTATTTATAGTTATTATTACTAAATATAAAGCCTTAAAAATTAAAGTAATATCTAGCTCTATTTCTAAGTTAAGAAAACTCTTATCTTTTTTTATTTATAAAAATAGAAAAATTCTAGAAATCTCTTTATAGTTATTTATACTATAGGCATTATAAATTTTATACCTAGACTTCTATATAATAAAAGAAGATATATAAATTAATAATATCCCTAGTACTCTTTCTAACACTCCTAATATACCTAGCACACACTAGCCTACTAGAGTTATCTAAGTATCTATTATATATATATACTAATATTACTATAATTAGGTCTACTTTAGTATTTAATATATCCTCTAGCCTCCCTCTTTATAAGTAGCAGTCTTAAAACTATACAATTCCATCCCTAGATATATTATTTAGCAAAGAGATAGCTAATACCTTCATAAAATAATTAAACCAAGCAAGTAGCAATAAATAAATAGAGCTGGTTATATAATCAGTAAATAGTAGGATAAAATAAGTAGAGGAGGCTATATTAAGATAGCTACTAGACTTTAAAAAAGCACTAGAAAAACAACAAGCTAGATAAGCAATCTTCATCTTAATATCGAATAAGATAACTAGCTTCTATATCCTCTAGGACATACAATCTATCTACATAGACCCTACTTATTTAAGAAATAACCTGGGCATTCTTAGAGAGCTTTCCCAGTAATTTAGTTATCTCAAGCTTTAGGCTCTGGTATATGTTTTAAACATACTTAAGTCTGTTATTAACCTTATAAATCCCATGGTGTTGGAGGTCGGTATCTATATAGAGCAGCTAGTTAGCAATTAATAAGTTTCTCCTTAAATACAAATAACCTACCTTAGTTTTAACTAAATAATTCAGTAATATATTTCTATTAGAGTTTTAACTCTTAAACTAAAAATGTAGCACGCTACTTATATAGTACTTTTCTACCTTATTTCAATTTAATAATTTCCCTCTTTATTTCCTAACTTTAATTTAATAATTTTAAGATATATACAGTAGCTTAGTCATTATAGGTACTATACCCCTATAATATATTTAACCCCCTATACTGAAACTGCTATATTAAACAGAATCTAAATTAGGTAAGAATATATTCAACTAATATAACTAAGTATATAAACTCTATCTATTATTTATTAGGCCTCTAAAGATACTAATAAAGTATTCTAAATAATAATATAACTAGCTATCAATTATTAACTTTTATTTTAATTATTATTAATAAAAGATACGCTACTTTAATTATACTCTAGAAGAACCCCATAACTTATTAACAAACCTACGCAACATACACAAGCTCTACTACCTATATTATCTAGTAGAATTTGCCGTCGCTTACTACCAGCTAACAGCTTCCTACAAGCTAATCGACGTTGTCAGGCGCTTTGTAGTCCTGCTACACAATACTATTATCCCTAAAGAAGGCTATTCCGGCCACTAAGAACTGAAGCTTGCTCTGATACAACTATACAAAACGACGCAAAACCACCTCTTCCTCAACACAGCTAGCTACTTCATCTAAAAGCGCAGCAACGCAATGCATATAGGCGAACATACTTTAATCGTAAATACAATGCCCGCAGTAAAAACCCCGAGGCTGATATAGACTATAGTACTTTCCGCCGTCCAAGGAACTATACCTACATACAAGCCCACCTTCCACTAACCGAGAAACCTAAGGTCGACGGGCACTGCGTCAGAGCCGTATATCTTCTCACCGGTATTCTCAACTATACACCGTACCATATAGACAATGCAGCCGATATTCAACAAGCCATAGAGAATGCCTTAAGAGCTAGCAACTTTTATTTTTACTTCAATTCTTTAACCTCTTTGTTATTCATGCTATATTCTTCATTCGTCCCGTAATGCTACAGAAATAGCCTTCATCCCTCCCTCCAGCTCCTCCCGCATCGGCCATCCATACCCAAGCCGAAAAAAGTTATCCAGCAGCTTGAACCAGTATCCAGGACCAACATAGGTAGCATAATTCTTCAAGAGCCTGTCATAGAATGCCGGCAATCCACCCTTAGGCTCCTTCTTAATCCTAGGGAAGCAGACGACACCACCGGAGGGTTTGACCCAGTCTAGCAGCTCCTCGCCGTCGATCCACGTCTCGACCATCTAGAGACGGACCCTCATCTCGCCGGTCGTATCGGCAAGGATCTGCTCGCGGCGCGAGAGGACCTGCGTAGCGATCCACTCGTTAATGACGCTGCCGCTAATGCTGATCTGCTCCTTCGCCGCTAGGAAGGTCTTTTGAAGGGCCTTGTTAGTACTAATAAGCCAGCCGATACGGACGCCGGGGATGCCAAAGGACTTAGACAGCAAGCTAACACTCAGGACGTGGTCACCTAATGAGGCCGCCACGGGGAGCTTCTCGCCAAAAGCGATATCGCAGTACGTCTCATCTACAAGTAGCAAAACGCCCTTTTGCTTTGTAATAGCAACGAGCCGGTCGAGGGCCTGTCGCAATAGCATAGAGCCGGTAGGGTTGTGTGGACACATTATAGAGACAAGCCAAGTGTTGGGCTTAATAGTAGCCTCAATGTCGTTAATGTTGGGCTGGAAGCCAGACTCAAAAGTAACATCAATATACAAAATGTCACAGCCAACGGCCTTGAGCATCTCGAGGTTAGTTGCGTAGTTGGGGCGGATAACAACGAGGTGGTTGCGCTCCGCGCCATAAGTAGTGCCTAGCTGGAACGTAGTGATAATAAACAGCGCACCAGCCGCGCCCGAGGTAATAAGGACCTCGTCGGTGCTTACTTTGGCATTATCAGCAATTAACTTCCGCAGGTCAGTCTCGCCGCGGTGCTCATTATAGAGGAGGGTGAGGTTTGGGATTTGAAGGTTTAGGGACTCAATAGTCTAGTCGGTAATAGAGCTCTTGGAGAGGTTGTACTTGATCTTATCATAACCATACTCCTCGGGAGACTCAATCTCGATGGGCATACGCTCATACTTCATAATTACAGGAGTAGGAAGGGGGGGGGGGGTAATGATGCAAGCTAAGTGGTAAGGTGCTGATATCACCCCAACAAAACCGAAGATTGACTCAGGTTATATATCTCGTTTCAAGGGAAGCAAAGTTCCTAATATTAGACCCATAATACTCCTGACTTAATTGGCCAAGCTATAGCAAGATCAAAGTTGGGAAAGGCAACTCTAATCGCATAGGCAGTTAACCACAGCAATTAACTCGGAATCGCTTTCCCCAAACAAGAGGAGATCGGCGCCTCGACTTGCCCTCATCGTGGCAGCGCCTCGACTTATCTTCCTAGTATATAGCGCTTCAAGCTGCCCTCCCAAAATATGGCGCTCTGACCTTTGGCATGATGGGCCTCTTCAACGTGGAGAACTCTGGATCTGTTGCTATGCCGCCAATCTTAGTAGCAATAGAATCCTACATAACGTTAGGTAGATATTATGTAACAAGGTAACAAGGAGGTTGATTTAGTCTCCCTGTTCAAATCAAATTAAATCAATAGAATGCAGACTCCCGTCTGAAACGCCAAATCCATGCCATTCCTATCTCGCTACCCTTGCAACGACTAGCAGTTCTTTATAACCCGTAGCACGGTGCCGCCGTTCCTAAAGCCTTGGCACTCGTCTACGAATTCGGACAGCAGCGACTCGAAGAAAGGTTGGTGTCCCGGCTCGGCCATGCACCCTATAATGCATAGAGGCCAGATGAGACCCTGGAGGGATATGGTTCGGGGCCAGCCATGAAGCATATCCACTACTTTTTCAATTACTGTTTTTACTTCTAGGAGCGATGCCCAGGGCCCTGACACTATTGTACTAGATAGGATTAGTGAGGCCAGGGCGAAAATGTGCGAGACCCATGCTGCCTGGGGAGCTTTAGTATTTTCCTGGAAATGCATTGACAGTCAGTGTCAGTGTCTGTGCTCAGCTGGATTGTATGCTTACTTGAATTGCTATCTCGACCTCGTCGATGCCATTCTGCAAACAAGCCTCAATGCTTCGGCTCCTTGTAACCAGTTCTGGTATGCTTAAGGTCCTGTGTTCCTTTATGTCTGCTTTCCACGATTGCAGGTGCGCCAAGTCGCCGATGCAGATTATGACCCAATTGTAGCAACCCATTAGGTCCGCCATGTCGAGCTTTAATGCTTCCAGCCATTGCCGGTATGCGATGCGCGGTACTCGGCCTGTTGACACGCAAGCTAGAATATCAAATTATATGGTCTGGGCTATGAGAAAGTTAAAGTCCGTCCCGCCGCTATTAGAGCCATAATATCTACTAGAGTCGGTACTCTCGGGAGACGTAAGGTTGGTGAGCAAGGCTTCTGGTGAGTGCATACTGAGAACGGTGGTTACGGCATCGAGGTGAGGGAGCCAGTTATATTCTACACCATAAAAGACCTGGGGAAATAGTGAGATGGCACGCGTTGAGATAATCCAAATTTTTTTGCAATTACTTTATTACGTGCCTTGAAATTTATTGATATTAAACTGGAAGCTATAAATTCCGCAAGTCGGGACTTGTCCCCCAAGAGCGTTGTCTCTGTCTCATTACGACGCAAAAATTCACAGAGCTCCCGAAGAGCCTGTAAATAATACTCAAACGCCTCTTAGTTGTGGAGGTAGTTCCGTCGTCGGGAGACCTGAATTGCATTTCAGTGCAAGGCCGAGAGCGCAAGGGCGGCGTAATACAAAGGCCCGCCGTTGATAAGGAACGGGAGAAGCCAGCCTCGATTGCCCAAGTGGGAATTGGGGCGGAAATAAGGATATTGCCAGTAAAATACATAGTCGAGATAGTGCATAACAAGAGATGCTGAATCTGGCCGGAAGCCACATAAGTATGCTGGCTGCTGTGGGCGGCGCAGATGGGTTGGTGCATTCCCATCGTCTCCAATGTGGCTTTGGCCATAATAACCCCCCTCCACAGGGGAAGGCTCTAAACTATAGTTGTGCTCATCACTATAACAGACATCATCTATAAAACGAACATACCGCAGTAGCATAGGAGACAGCAAACCCGTAGCAACTTCAGCTAGCAGTGTCAACAGACTCTCACTCTCAACTAGAGCCTGTGAAGTAGTAGATGATGCTTCAACAAACAGTGTCGAGTCCCTATCCACTTGCCAATCGTGGACCTGAGACTTGTGAATATGAAGATTCCGCAGATTCTGCTTGACGGCCTTCTTGATGCGCGTGAGCTCTTGTCGCTCGGCAGCAGCCCCATCCATCCACAAAGGCTTGGGACCGAAGCCGTAGCACGGGATGCATCGGTCGTTGCACTCCCTGCAGGTCGGGGTTCGGAGATCACACTTGCGGTGCCTAAGCTTGCAGGTCCAACAGCCGGACGTCATGTCAGTTTCTCTCTTGCAAAAGGGTTTCGTTCAGGGGAGGATCGTGTTTGGTGGGAGATGGAGCTGGGAGAGCCATTAACTCGTTTTTCAACAGGGGCCGAATTAGAGCTAGTCCCAGGGCCAGGGCCATTCGCGGGGTGCTGACATGCCCCCACCAAGCTTCGCCACGGCCTGCCGTTCTTGGAGTGTTCCGTTCCCCATGACTTGCAAGTTACGGGTGCGAGATATCAAAGTCTCGGGGCTTAAACATAACCAGATAGACAAATAGAGATAAGACAACCACAACATCTAAAATCAATTAAAATCAATAATCATCCTCTTCTCCAGATGCATCTACATTAATTTTACAAGTATGCGTATTATGCCTGGGTTTTCTGCATCTTCCACATCGCCGTTTTCTTGTCTCTGTCTGCCTCTCCCGACTACTTTGCTGCGTTTCCTGCTGTATCTGATCAGCAATTTCCCTTTAATCTTATAGCTCCTATCCCTCAGCTACTGTCATGCTCCCAGAAAGTTGTAGACGTGTTTTTTTCGCTCTATACCGCCGGCTAAGTGTTTTATTTGCCTCTAGAAGCTTGCTGACTTCTGCCTTTAATAATGCTATCTGGTGTATTATTTCTTGTGCCCTCTTTGTAAATTGATTTATAATAGCTAAAATAGATATTAAAGAGTTTTTCTAATAATAGCTAATTTAAGTTTTAATAAAATTAGTTTATAAAGTAGCTTTAATTAGGTTATTTAAGATTTTTAAAATTTAAAGATTAAATAGCTTAAAATTCTTTTTTATAAATAATAGAATTTATAATTTTATATTTAAATAAAAAAATATACTTTTTAAATTATAAAAAATAAGTTTTATATTTTTAAAAAATTTTTAAATATTTCTTTTTAATATTATTTTTTAAAATATAACTTAAAATATAAAAAAAAAGTTAATTTTAATAATATAAGTAATTTAGATTTTTATTATATTTTTTATTTATTAATTATAAATTTATTTAAGTAACTTAAAATAATTAATATTAAATAACTAAAAAATATAAAATAAATATAATAATATATAAAAAGTAATAATTTTTTTTTATAAAATAATTTAAATTTAATTAAATAATAGCTTTTATATTTATTTAATATAAGAAAATAATAAAAAATATTTTTAAATATTTTTAAATATTTTTAAATATTTATTAAAATATTAATCTTTTTTTAAATTTTATTTATTTATTATTTAGCTATTATTTAAAATTATAATAATTTAATTTTATAATAAAATTCTTTTATTATATTAAATTATAAAATAATATTAACTTATAATAATAATAAATAGTAAAATTATTTATTTTAAAAATTAATATTTTAAATTATAATAATTTATTTTTTTATTTTTTAATTAAGCTATTAATAATTTTTTATATTATTTAATACTTATAATAATTATTTTAATTAAAATAATATTTATTATAACCCTGGGGCTCAGTGGTTAAGAGCTTGGGACCTTTTTTCAAGAGGTTGTTGGTTCGAATCCAGCCCAGGGCACAATCCTTGTAATTGTGCTGTGACTGCTAGCCTCGTCCCCTAGCAGAAAAGTCAGCCTGTACAGGGATTGAACCCGAGGATCCGACTCGCTAACCGGGCCTAAGGTAGCAAGCTAATTGGTCCCTAGCTTGCCTTTAGGAAGTGGACTGGCCAACCCACTATAAGAGGCTAACTACAGCGCATTCCTGCGCTTATAAATAGGTAACCCCCCCTCTACCCAGAGAAAATAGGAAGGTTGGAAGACTAGAAGGTTGAGGTGTTAATGGCGAGGAATAGCTTGAGGTGTTGTTACCAGTTACAGACTCGAAGTTGCATTGTATGCTCTACAGTGACCTTATGGGTACATAGAGTGGTAGAAATAGAAGGAAGGGGTAGGGTTTTCATCCAATGTTTAGGCATACGGTTTTTCCCTATCCGATAAAGTAGTAGGAGTTCTATAGGCCTTGATAAAGGTAAAATAGCGTATACTAAATAAATAAATAAATAAATATTTATTATAAATTTAATCTTATTAAAATTATAAATGTCTAATTTTATAATATTATATTTTATAATTATATTTTATATAAATTAAAACTATTTCTAAATAATATTTAGATTTTTATATTAAGCTCTTTAATAGTTATATTTATATATAAAATATATCTTAAGCTCTAATTATTACTTAATAAAATTTAAAGCCTAATATTTACTAACTAAAGGTATATTATAGTTAATAAGTAATTAATTAGCTATATCTTCTATATTACAAAGCCAGAAAGGAAATAATTATAAATCTAGATTAAGAATATACTTAATAATTATTAATTCCTCTAATTCTATAAGTTTTTGCAAATTAGAGATACTATTACATTGGGAAATTATACTCTTAAGGCGGCGGCTTAGTATTATTTAACTAACCGTATAGATCTTAGCTACGGCCCGTATACTTAGAGTTGGGTCTTTTTAGATAGCTTGGACAGCTGTAATAAGATGCCTTTCTTTACTAGGCAATGCTATGTTTATGTGTTGAGAAATGGTATGTTAAATGTATGTCGATGTGAAAATGTGGTTAGGTGAGTCGCTCGCTTGTCTGAGTCGCTCGCTTATCATGTACGTTAATTGAAGAAGGGAAAAAGCATGCCCTACCATAGAAAGGGCAGTGCTACCACTTTAAGTAGTAACCTATGATAGCTAAGGTCCTACATGCATTAAACTCCAGTGTGCTAGCCAGCAACATCACAATAGGTGTGTTAGACTCTATAAAGGACTTCGAATATGTATAACTATTAAGAGTAAACTGGAAGTGTATGTGGGTACACTAAGAAAGTTCTTTTATAAATATCTATATTTCACTTTTCTTAAAGTAGAAGAATCAGCTCTATATATATCTAAGATTTAGATAAGGATATTAACTATAAGAATGGAACCAGCCAAGGGCGATCGGATATAATGTTTCGTCTATTCTAGCTCGGACGTTTCCACCGGATGGAAATTTCTCACATGTCTAGACATATTATCCTCACGACTATTGCGAAACTTAGCACCACAGTGAGGACAGATCAAGGTCTCTCCAGCGATGCCTAGCGCCTCTGCAAGAGACGGATGTGCAATGCGAACGTGGTCCTTCATATCGTTCTGTTCTGCCTTCTCTTCTGTGCACTCGGGGCATTGCACAGGCTTAAAATGATTACGAGCATGTTTCCTAATCGTGTCAGCGCCCAACATTAAATATTTTGAATGTGCAGCTTACCTAAGTCCGCTCGGGAGGTTATAGAACTTTTTGGGTTCTTGTCTGCAATCTCCATACGTGCAAAAGTATTGTCCATCTTGTGACTGGCCTTGGTAAAGGCTGCTTGGGGGCAATTCCTTTTCTAGGAAGAGTTGACCAGCGCGCAATTGACGAAATGGTTGCCTTATAGCCCCGCCGCTCCCGCTCCAGGTCTCAGAGCTCTCAGCATTCATAACATGGTTATGCCCGTTAAATGACGTGTGATCATGAGTTCTGGCGGCAAAGTTGCCTAGACCAGCTACCTCGGGTTGGAGAGACTAATGCCGCTGACCCTGATCAACGCTCATAGGTCGGCCAGTATCTTCTGAGTAGCTTGATCCCGTCGAGACTTCGAGGTCCCGCAGTGAGACGAATTGCGGGGGCACAAAATCGATGTTCAGCAGTTGTTCATTCATTGTGGTAGAGGTCTCTTCCATTGTGGCACCTCTCCGCGATTCAAACCTCGCTAAAAGGGCAACTATTTGTTGGACTCAATGTTCCTTGGTTTGGACGTGTCAGACAGTACCCTTGAGAGCTTTTGGGGATTCAGACGGTGAGCATACCGGAAACCAAGATGATCCTCCCGTACCCTTGCATCGGAACCAAGCCGATTTTAGCCGCTGGGATCAAGTTGAGATTGCGAGCTGTTAATTTCGTCCCCAGATCCAAAGTGAAGAGAGGAGGTGATGAACCATATTTAAGTTCAGCCCACGGCGGATGCGCTCACACCACTTTCACAATCTCTATTCCTTATCATCATTCTATGTAAGTCCCCGCATTCAATCTGTGTATGGGAATTACAGTTTGCTGGTGATCGAACTGGGTGGAAGAGCATGGAAGAATGAGCGGCGAATCACGTCACGGTATGCATGAGGCCTACTACTATGTCAAAACGGTTAGATGCAGGGTGACGTAGACAAGCAATGTCGATAATCTCTCAGCTGGGGAACATCAGAGACCGCATAAGCCACAGTAATGCACGAGGAGGCCTACCATCCCCATCACGTAATCCGAAGGCCAAATTAATGCTGAGCCCACCACATTACTTGCTTCGCATTGTCTACCATCCAGACCACACATGCTCTTCACTGTCTGCCCCTGACCCGGGCTGGACAGTTTCATCGTTTTCCCCCATGAATGAATTTGGCTGTTAAACCGACCTCGCCTCCGAAGCTCTGGCCACCAGTGACAGCACCCAATCCCAACAGGACAGAGACCGCAGAAAGTCACCTCAAAGGCATTCCAGCCCGAGACACAGCTGCAGAGATGAGCAAGCAGTCCGCTCCCTCTAGCTATTCGATAGACAGGCTAACACCACGAAGCCGACCATGAACCCCCCAAAGTTGTTGCTCTTACACCAGCATTGGCGAAGCAATTCTACCCAACCCTGCTGCTCTTTGTCTGCCTCGCAGCCGTCCATCCATACAGGAGAAGTGCGCAAGACCCCGTTCTTGATCTCACGACCGGCCTCGAGCCGCTTTTTCGCGACTTTGTCTCCAAACTAGCTTTCCTTTGTTGTACTGAGCCTGGCGGTTCCGCGGTCGCAGCTTGCGCGATCCTGCAGCTTCCGGAAGGCGTTCAGTATGTTTTCGGCTTCAATAATCGGACTAGTAGCGAACTGAAGCACAAACGATGCGAAATAACCCGTATTCTGCACATGCTCCATTTTCCCCTGCCAGCAACAGACTCGGAGAAAGCAGCACTTCACCGACAAATTCTTACCGCAGCGCTTGCATTTTCTGAAATTCGTATCAAGGCGTATTTACGATCTCTTGGGACTCAACTTCAGGTCTGTGTGCGGGCTTGTGAGCAAGAAGACACCACTGAAGGTAGTTTGTCCAAACCAGTCGGATCTTCGCATACTAAGATAGAATAGCCCAGGTAATCAAGGAGGCCTTTATGACTATCCTTCAAAGTCTAGAGCCATGCTTTGAACAGAGTCCTGAGACCCTGAAGGAATCGGGTAAGTCGTTGCACTAGGTAGCGATGATTGAAACCCAAGAATTAATACCGAGGCTTTCCAGTGAGCATCCATGCTGTGCTCAATTTGATTGAATCGATAGACCAGCTTTTCAAGTCCAATACTTTCGTTCTTGTGGGACCCCGTTTAGCTCGAGAAGAGAATTTAATGTCAGCGAGACATTGGTCAGACTGCATTCACGTTGCCGGACGCTTGCTCTCTTACAGACGAGCGGTTGACGTGATGCTCTTGGTGGCCAGCACTTGGCCGCAACTCTTCGATAAGTTTCAGATTTGCATGATACCATCAAGCTCGGGTATCTCGAACGCACTCCGAGGCCAACCGTTGACTGCTGAGCGAATCGTGGGGAAAATGACCGGTGACCAAGAGCTCATCGGTCGTTTGAGCGAACAACTCCAGCAACTTTCCGCCCATGACCTTGACGGCGATATCAGGCAGATTTGGTCTCAAGCATCCAAGCCGATTGTGCACGCCGAAGTCCTCGTCCACCACTGGCTAGAAAACACACAAGGAGGAATCCGACCGGAACGCTTCTTCAACCGCTGGAAATTTATTGGATCCAGTAAACCACCCTGCAAGCTTTGTTCTTATTTCTTCGACGAGTACCCGACGGATGTTCAGGTTCGCCCGTCCCACCAGAATGTTTATTTCCCATGGCGAATGCCAGACATATACGAACATCAGGGGCACGATGCCGCGATTACACGAATGAGGGTGATGGGCAGGATCAAGACCCGCATTTGCGCAGACATAGCACGAATATTATCCGAGAGGCTATCAGATGGGCGACCTCACGACTCTAGTACCTACACAGCACTTGCGCCCTGTAGAATGCCAGGCATAGATGGTGGACCCCCGGCTGAAACAGCGACAGGTTTATCCTTGAGTTTATTGAGGATCTTAGACCGGGAAGTTGTGACTGTAGTTCACCAACGGTCAGCTGATGCGACAAATGAAGCACTCGAGGAAGAGGACGAAGTGTTGCTTTTTCAAGGGAGGTCGTCTATAACGGGTCCTAAAAATAACAGACAATAATCAGAAGGAAGAGAATGTTGGATGCAGAGGACATGTTTTGTTTCGAATCGAATGATTGATCAATAGATTTATGTGTTCGATTTAAGAAAAAACCAATTTGGTCGAGATGTCACATTTTTCAACTACTTGCTGTACTATGCGTAATATTTCACGTTGCTCTGACAAGAATATTTGTGCAGTTCCGAGGGGGGGTCGGTGATTCTGACTTTGTCTTTACGTTTCCGGGAACTTTTCGTGGAGAGATATACTGATTGAGTTGGGGCCCATCACAAGTCTTTTGCTAATTACACGCTAAGTACCTCGAGTTCAGCAATGGCCGGTCCCGGCGGCGGTGGTCCTTATGCTTCGGCCTGTTCGCGCGCGAGCCTGTTTGCCGATTCGGCAATTGAAACAGGAGGGTGTTTGAGAGAGAGATCGAGGCCATGTAGGCTCGGGAAATGGGCGTACTGAGCTCGTTCTGTGGCTGCAGCATTGGGGGCCGCATTGAGCGGCGGAGACGGCGTCTGTGCTGCCTGTCTGGATTCAAGTGAGACGCGGATCTCACCTTCAACAACCGCAGGGCTGCCACGGGGGAGGGCTGCACGAGCTCCTCGGGCGAAGTTTGAGCCCCTTGTCTCGGATCGCCGCCGGCATGCGGCATCCTCGAAAGATGAAGGTCAATAGCCGTTTACACAAACGTCGGTATCTCTGTCGACTGCTATTCTGAACGATGAGCTTAAATGGCTTCGGCTGGCAAGACTGAAGTTGCGGGCTCCGGAGCTAACAGAGCAGACTTCGACTTGTATGCCGTGCTGTCTCCTCACACTTGTCGAAGATGATATCGACGGCACTCGCGATGCATGAGATCTTCTGTTCGAGTTCTTTGTAGAATGTGGTGATATCAGTGATATCAGATGCTTCAAATGACTTCCGGGACTTCTCGATGGCCTTGAGGAACGTACGGCGAAGCTGTGGATGATCTTTTCGGAACCCAGCATACCAGGTCTTCGATAAAGGAGTCGCTTTTGGGTCTCTTTGAAGCCGTAGTGTATTTGCTGCCTCTTCAACCTGCTTCTTAGAGGCAGGGAAGCCGGCGCGTTCCATCCACATCACGTATGCGACCAAGGCGTCATCTTCAGCTTCTGACAGCGCACGCGGACGGCCCCGCGGCCGGTTGGTATCGTGAGAGCCGTCTTCGAGCCTCTTTAGCTGCCTGAAGACCTCACTCGTACTGACGTTATAGAGGCGTGCAGCGGCGCGGAGGGAAAGAGGTTTGGTGCCGCTGCGAAGAGAGGTATTTCGCCCGCGGCTAGTGAGTATCGCTTGTGCAGCCTTGTTGCCTTGGATTTGCTTGTGCGTATCAGCAAAAAGCATGATGGTCACTTTTTTGTATTTCTTGACTCAATGGTGTCGATAATATACGTGATTTAGTATGTGGAATGATTGATATTCTGGACAGCTCAAAGTAGCGGGGTGTTCCAACTTTTTCCGGCCTACTAAGTGGCTTGCCCACTTAGTACCTACGGCTAGCTATCCGAGGTCTATTACGCATCCAAGATTGATAAATATTCTAGATCATCACTTTCAAATATATAATTTATCTTATCCTGACTGGGGTTTTATAGGCTTATCAAAGTCCGTGTTAGATCCTTCTGACGTTGCCTGATCGTACTTGATGTTAACCTATATAGGGTTAGCAGATAGATTTAAAACAAAATATCATGGCAGTCTCTTACAGTTGTACTTCGGATGATACCGTTATATGTCATAATCTCCTCCTCACTCCCATTCGGCGAATGTCCTCGGATCTCCGTGTGTGTCTTGCTGTTGTGGAAATCCTTGAGAGGAAAGTTTCCGCTGACATTCGTATGCCGTCTGCCAGTGCCAGTACCGTAGTTGTTGCTTGGTGTATTGTAATCTCGGCCGTTGCTGCTCTTGTTGGAGAACAGACCAGGGAACATTCTGCGGAACAGCGGGCGCAGTGCGGGACCGCAGGAGGCGATGATGGCCAAGTTGACTTCAACGGCGCTCAACGTGCCTCCGAGTGTGTTTCTCGAGTCGTAGTTGGGATCCTTGTTGTAAAACTGCTTGCGGAGCTCGTTGACGCGGAGTATCGCAACAATGGTGACACTGCATTCATTCAAGTTAGTTCAAGTACCACCAAAACACCATGGCTATTCTGGGTATACTTACACTCCGCCCATGAGGAAGACGGCGATCAAGCCGATCTTGGCAGCAAGGCGCATTCGCAGGCCCAAGAAAACCCAGAACGGAATCAGCAGGACAAGAAAGTCAGTGACGATGGTGATGATGGCCGTTGAGATGTAAAACATCGGCCCGTCGATCTGCCGCTCCTTCTCGACTTCGAGATCCCAGTATGCATTGATGGGGATGGTCTGGAAGATGACTGTGAGGAAAATGGCAATTCCGAGCGCAATGTTGAAGGTGTTGAGCGCGTAAACTGCCCATCGGATGCTCCGCTGATGACCTCCAAGGCGCAGTAGGAAAATGAGGATCGACGACTTGATCAAGGCTAGAATCGGGTTGTAGAGGACCTGCATAATCCAGTTCCAGAACAGCACGGGCTCAACATCGTAGGTGTCGGGCAGATCCTTGGTAGGGAAACCAATGTATTCGTACTTGAAGACTGCATGCGAGCAAGGTTAGAGACGCGGGGTCGTGTTGCAGGGCTGAACTTAACTCACACATGTAGTATGGAACAACCAATGCCAACGAGAAGGCCTGGTGGAGGGGATGAGTGTTGATCAGTGCACGTTCTAATAACCAACATGAGGAGAACTTTAACGAACCATGGCGGCTGTGACGAGCCAGTCATCTAGAGGGCGCAGGCCCGGTTAGTCGAAGATGCCATTTGGGATGACCATGTCGGAAGGAGGACTGATCGTCGGGAAAGTCAAGCACGTACCAACTCCAAACTGTTTTGTCAATACTCGCGAGTACACACGGATGCCCCAGACGGTGAACGCCAGGAAGGTCATTAGAAAAATGATGGCGACGGCGCTCTGCTGCAGCGGCGTGGTCGCCAGCTGGCTGACGGGGATGTAGCGAGCTTTGATCTCGGCGTCGACGGCAGAGACGCCCATGACGACAACGCTGAGCGAGTCCTGAGCCTTCATCGTCACAGAAGATTCTACAAAAAGAAGGTGGTTTGAAGGAAGGATCCCGAAAGGGGGCACGCGACGGAGTCGTCGGAGAATAGACACCGGCCCCAACGCCCGGAGAGGAACCTTGGCAGAACACGAACTGCGTCTTGTGCCTTGAAACCTTCCAAACCGGATTTCAAAAGACGTGCACGCTGCCCAGCCAAGCCGGGTGTGGGCAGTGAAAATGCTATATACCCAGCTTGACGCGTGCGTGTCCGTCCGTAGATGAACCACACGACGAACCGACTCCTTGGGATTAGTGTACGTGTGTCATCCTAGCTAGTATCAAAGCACGAACTGCGACTATCAAGAATACCACCATTTCAGACAATTCCTGCTTCCCTCCAAAGCAGGACTCTTTTTCTACAAATCCAACACCAATTCCCAATTAAGCCCAGGTCGTTTATTAGGGGGATTACTAGAACTAGCAGATGGTTCCGAGAGACTAGTCGCAGCCACGAATGTCATCCGGGTCTGGAGTCCGGCATTCGAGCTGTTTTGGCTTATCGAGTCCGGCCCTCAGCCGCAACGAGAAGGCGAACAGACTGGCTCATTGCGCGCTCTGCGCGGGGAAGGACCGGATAGTGGCACACGAGCTAACTGTCACTGACAGTCACTGATGGTCACGGGGATGGGCATTGTTCATCTCCACTATTGAACCCATCGACTCGTGCTGTCTCAGACAATACTCTTCAGCCGCCAGTTCCCCTCCGAGACCCAGATCCGATCCCCCGCACAGCCCGACCATCCTCGACTCCTCTCCTCCCCGCACGATGGCCTGGAGGGTCCGCCAAGCTGAGCGGGCGCGGCTCCTCAGCAGCCGGTAGTCACGCTGCCAGGGCTCTGCGGCGTTTGTTAGGGGAAATTATCAGCAATTCCATCCGACGAGGGGGGGGCTCCCCACAGTGCAGTGGGCGATTCTGGAACGTCAGCGATCCTAAAAAACAATGGCGCCACCAGAGGACTTTTGCCGGACCAACACCTTGCGACTCAAGTGCCCTCTCTCTGCAGGGCACTTGGCGTGCTAAGAGAGACTAGGAAGCCCCTGTTATTACCGCACGGGCCACGGCCCTGGCACCCCGGGCACACGACGGAGCTCCGGCCACGCATAGCGCCAGGACTAAGCCCCAGAACAATCCTTGGGTAGCGTAGGGGCCTGAAGAGCTGCATAAGCGGCGTCAGCGCCGCCAGAAGCCACTTCATAGGCTCGACGCTAGGAGGACCGACTATGCTAATTTGATGAAATTGTTGGATAGCGTACGGATACGGCACATTCGATCCAGGGATCAGTGATGGGTTTAGGGTGACGGATTTCGCTTGTGTCCGGGCAGACTCAGCCAATAAGATCACGTCTGGGACGAACAGTACCCTTGTCAATTTCCAGGAACTAGTACGCATCGGTTTTAAATGGAACGCTATCCCTGTTGAACAGCGCGGTCCCCCTGCTCGTTCTGGCAAGATAAGATAAGGGATAATCCGGATATCGCAATAAATATTAATCCGGATACCGTACGCCCCGCAAAATCGGGAGTCGGATTCTCCCATCTCCTTCCTGTCTCAGGAGCATCACATCCATATAGCGGGATCAGCCGCAATCAAAGATTATCAAGGACAACCCTATCAGAAATAGTCTTAATGCCTTCCGCGCTTCTTTCAATTTGATATGGAAAGCGCGAGCATCTCCTGCACCCAGATGCGCTAGAGCACGGTTACGAAGGTATGAAGGGTGGCTCAGCATTTGTTCCCAGTCATGCTCGTCTAACCATGGTTATAAATCTCTAGAATTTGGCATTTCAAAACCTCTGAATATCTCGCCTGTTTCGTACCAGCGGCAGTGACAGGTCTCTCCCGAGTGATCCGTCAAGACTCAATGCTGCTGTCCTCGCGAAGAGAGCCATTAAGTGACACCACATCGCGACTGAACGGACGAACACCAACATCTCAATCAGCACCTCGCAACCAATCACCAACGCCACCACTTGTTCGCCCGCTGCACACCATCCCCTCGGATACACGGTGAATAGGTCGGGGTTCTTCCTTTAGCGTCTTCTCGGAGACCAGAATCCAACACTCGGGCCGGGACATCAGCTTCATCTAGTTTGACTGCGGGTAGGGTCTCTCGGCAACAAGAAGTTGATCCATCTTGATGATTGCTGATAGTTTGAGAGTAAAATCGGCGGCATCACATAACGTCTGTTCAGTGCCAGACATGAAGGTCGCCGGATACCCATTGCTGCAGGTTGCTGCGAGATCTACCATACTTGAGTATTGAAAGTAAGGTGAGACAGTAACGAAGGCAGGAATTCAATCCTCAGACTTCTATGCATCTACATTTTAGGGAGTGAAATGGTCGGCGTCAATGACCTGTACAAGGTTGGCACAGGCCTTCGTGCCAGAAGCGCGCCTCATTCCGCGTTTTTGTTAAACACACGCTAGAAGTGCGGCGCATTTCCAGAAGTAGGTAATAAAGGGTAGAGATCTAAGGGGTGTGATTGGTGTAGAAGTGGAAATGCGGCGTACTTCCATTGTGCATGCTTGAGTAAAACGGGGCGCGTTTCTAGGAGGAAAATGGGAGTAGAAGTGTAATGGCTGTGAATGGTGTAGAACCGGAATCGGGGCCCGTTTCTATCGGACATTACTGAGTGGGGGTGTTGCCTTCTGTCTGCAAAGACCTAGATGACTTTACCAAGGACAACACAACAAAGAAGGCAGAAACGAATACTTTCATCTGCTCCTATAGTTGATTTCTGTGAGAGTTGACTCATTCCGAAGCTGAAAAGATGATGGTGAAGTGCCTCCCTGATCGACAGCCGAGGGCCATTGCGATATTGGATGATAAAGGCAAATGATGCCGACTTCTCTATCGTGATATTATATTATAATTGTCTCTCGGACCAAAACTCAAAAGACTATGAGCTCGTCATCACTCTCTTTGTCCTCATCACTGAAATGTCGGGGACCCATCTCGATCTCAATATCAAGACATTTGGATGATCTGGTACAAGCTTGTCGGGCGGATTCAATCTTTCCCATAAACCGATCCTTGACTCTCTGAAACGTATTCTCATCATGCCGTCCCGTTGTCATCTCGAACTTTTTCTTGCTAACTATCAGGACGAACATTAGATCGTTTGGGTTGCCAGGCAACGGGAACTCGCTAAGGAGTTTACTTAGTGTCTTCTTTTGAAACGGTCTATTTAGCTTTATGGACTTATTTGTTGATTTCGATATGTTTATACTGAATGCGAAGCTGATATCCGGAAGGACTTGCTGTTTCGCCAGTAGCGGTGTGCGTTTATGTGGGCGTAGTTTCTTAGGGTGAATGTTACTGGCGGACCCGGATGTTGCACAGTCACTGCTTGAGTCCATATTTCGCGAAACACCTGTTTGGGCGATATCTGAAATTTGCCTCTCGTTGTTAATTGCAATAACACCCTGAGGTTCTGTGGGAGTACTTGGAAGAGCATGCTCGCGCTCAAGCACCCCACTCGCGTTTTGGAGAGAGGTCGGCGGTAGATCTGAGGCAGATTCCGTCCGAGTTTGTCGATACAATGCGGGCTGGGTCAAAGAGGAACTCGAAGTGGTGGCGGCGCTAGAAGGTTGCATCTTGATGAACTCTTCCCATCGAGACCGTTTCGCCCGATGTCCATCGTGACTCTCGATAGCTGGACGCGCTCTAGAATTTTCGGTCTACTCTACAATTAGTAAGATATCCCTTGTGGAAGAAATGTCCTCACAAATACGGTCAGGTCTAGCGGCTTGTCAGTAGCTCATTCAACGCATTGTCTTCGCGAAATAATTACAGAGTACACGTACTGAAGAAGCATTTCGGAAAGGTTATCATCAAGAGAATCCTCAGGACTACGATTCTCATGAAGATTGCCAACACTTTGCTGCGGGAATCCAACAGGGATTTGTGAGCCGTTCGACCCGGAAAGACCGCGCCCAATGTAGGTTTGGGGTTTCTTTTCTTGGAGGGCCCTAGAACGTGCCTTAGACGAGTTCATCTAAAAGAATAGCTGGATGAGAAGTCGTTTTATCCTAAACAAATACTCTATCAGCAGTGTTCGTCCAGGGAAGGTCGACAAACGGCCGCTTAACTTGCTCTTCGGCGTCCTGGGGGTGGCGTAATTTTCCATGATTGTCAGATGCTGAATTATCTGACCAGTGTCGTGCCTTTGTATTATTTAGAAACTTGGCTACCGTTTCGGACAAACCCTGACGATAGCAGGGATTGTTCCGTTGTAGGAAACTCGGGCCAGAGATGTCACAAGTAGATGTAAATAATACTCTAAAAAAATCCAAGTCCTTGTAGAATTGTTGATGTGTTTTATTCTTGGGAGTCCCGTAGCCGAGTTCCTTGCGAAGGTTCCCGATATTAGGAATCTTAGCATTGGTACCGTTAAGCAAAGCATCAGACGTATGTGTTAGCTGACAAGAGGACCTTTGTGCACTATTTTCCATGGTGTCTTTGTACGATATAGGCGATTGGGTTATAGGGAAGCATAGAAAGCATGAGAAACGTCCTTTCGGAAGAACGGGCGTCGTTACTCTGATGTTTAGCCATTAATCAGTAAGTAAGATTAGGGTTCAAGAAGAAGGAAGTGTACAGCGTTGAGCAAAGTGGAAAAAGGGGCGGAAGGGGTAGATGCCTCAGTGGATCAAAGCATTCCTTTGAGAAAAACCAAAAGCATTGACCGGCTAATGAGGTAAATCTTTGGAGCAGGGATGCTCGGGGATGCCGAGGCAGCTGTGACTTTTTTATATATCTCTTAGCCTCTGCATGCTCCATGACAGCCGCCCGCCCAGTGCGCTGAGGGAAGTGGCTGCCCCAGAAAGATTAGAACATGTGCGATTCCTTCTGCTGGAATAAGACCAGACAACCAGGGTAATAGAAGGCCAGGTCCGAGAGCACAACCTGCTCATACATACATCCATGCAAAACCTACGAGCCAGCGGCGCCGGGGCGGTTCCGCACCTGTGACTCCTTTCAGCACCTGGCCTGGCAACAAATAGCAGGCCGTGTGGGCAAAGTGGGCCCAGACTCAGCCTCACGGCAGTATCCGCGTTTCGTTATATTCGATCTAGGAGACTGTATTCTATTGGGTGTGGATCCAGAAGCTGATGATTGTATTGATCTCGGATGCTCCCACGTCACGGCATCTGAAATAACCGCAGTGTCAGTAGGCGCCATAATTGATGTATATTACGGATATGTGTGTTCGTGTCAAGTGTCAATACAGAACAATACTCAAAAGCCCCAGGCGCTGAGTATGACCTTGCGCTGAGTAATAAAATGAGAGGGCCAAGTGCCATGTGGATCATTTCCTTCCAACCCCGCTAGCATGGGCGCCTAATAATGCGTGCCCATTGTGCACAACTACCGTCGCCAGCTTTCATAGATTATCGCATACCTCAACGCACATCGTCTACGGTAATTGCGACAGCCAAGTCCACACCGAGTATTTCCCACACGATCTTTGGATGAATCTAGCATCTTTCTAAATCGAACAGTCTCCGGCTGTGATTCCAATGTAGGAGACTCCATTATCTTCCATATGCTGTCATAGAAACAGTCATGGTTTGCGCGTGGACGTGATAGGGAAAATCGGGAATAAAGCCCATAAATAAATGCACCACAGCGATGCACGCCATAACAAACAAATGGAGGATTGATCAAACAATAGATAAGATGCTCTCGTCTATCCGCGCAGGCCGCCTTGGGCTGGGCTAGCAGTTCGCCGCCCCGGGATGCCTGCCTGCCTGCAGCTTATCGCATAAGTGCTTCATCGCGCAAACTGACAGGTCTGGGGGCCCTGCTTGATAGCTTCAAGCAGGTTCCTGGTCATCGCGTAAGATAGAGACCTTCAATTACGTAGGAATTGCGTTTGGCCGGGTGGCCGTGGAGAGGGGTTAATATTCGAAGTTGCTGAGGGCACTGACGTGATTTGGCGGCGTTGTGGCGCTAAGTGGCTGAATCCGCCACCAAGAGGTCGCCGTAGATATACTACTGCTATAAGTGGCCATGGCCTGGTACCTCACTTATTGTACGCTTCCTTTATGAATACGGAGTCATATTCGGAGTATCTGTCATAACTATTATGTCGCAAGAGACTATGTTTTCGTTTCTATGGCACTCGTTCTTAATTGGCGGCGACGACCACGGTCAGGATCAAGCCTATCGTCGAGATGCCCGTCGAGCGTGGTTTCTCTGAGTTGCGGCCGCCCTACCCCAAAAGGGCCCCAACAAGAGCCCCAACAAGGGCCCCAACAAGGGCCCCAACAAAAGTCCGCCTTATAATAGTGGTGGTTGTTGAACTCCCCCCCGGCGCTAAGCTACCATCGTCAGAAATAAGAGCCCATTCCTTTGACACCTCCTTCTTCCACCACTTTGCGGTAGATTCTATGATGAAGGTTCTTTCTATGTTGACGCTGTTTGTTTTTCTGAGTTTCCAATCGGCCGTCGCTGCACAAACTCGTTCAGAGATTGACGATGTGGTGATTGTTGGTGGAGGAACGGCCGGACTTACCGTTGCTTATGAAATTGCTTCTCGTACGAATCTCAGAGTGCGCGTTTTGGAAGCTGGAGATGATCCTACCACCCAAAATCCGGAGATCGAAGTGCCAATCAAGGAATTCGAGGTCTACAGCAACCCCATGTGGGAATGGGGCTTCGTGTCGACCCCCCAGAATCATTCCAGCAATGTTACCATTCCCCTGGCGAGATTCAAAGGACTCGGTGGATGCAGTCAACACAACGGGGAGGGATTTTGGCTGGGATCTCAATACACGTACGACAAATGGCCGAAAGGATTCAAGTACAGAGACTTTCATCAGGCGGTTTTGCAGGAGGAGGGGTGTGTGAGCTTTGGGCTACCAAATCACGGGACGACTGGCCCTTTGCACACTTTACTTGATCCTCTTGATGCCATTGATCCATATTTGGTTGCATTCAAGGCTGCTGCACTGCAAGCAGGATATCGTTTCAATCCGGACGAAAACGCCCCGCTGGCTAAAGGCTACATGCCTCACGTTGTTACATACAAAGACGGGCGGAGGTTCGGTCCCTACGGTGTGTTCAAATCCGTCAGGGGCCGTCTTCCAAACTTGCGTGTCGACCTAAACACCACCGTCACTGGCCTGTTGTTCGGCGGTGGGACCGACCAAGATGGAAAAAAAAGACTCAAAATCACGGGAGTGACGGCGGATCGCGTCGGTCGCGATGGATTCGAGAGAAACATTACATATCTGGCAAGGAAGGCGGTGGTTATGGCGGCTGGAGCATACCAGACTCCCCAAATCTTGATGGTGTCAGGTATTGGGCCCAAGGATATGCTACGCAACGCGGGCATCAACCTGAGGGTAGACCTGCCCGGTGTGGGAAAAGCCCTGAAAGACCATTACGCGGTTCCGTACATCATCAATAGCTTGCAAATTCCTCCGATGAACGACCCGGCCTTTTTCGCGGAGCAGGCCCAGCTTTACGCCGCTACCCAAACGGGCTATTTTGCGTGGCCGCCCTCCGATCATGCTGCCGTGACAGCATCAACCAATGGAAATCAGCAAAACCCATTCGTACCAGTCGATGTGGTTATGGTTACATTTCCTTACACTTTCTTCCCCGGATTCAATGCCAACCAGATTCTCTCTTTGGTTGTTTTGACAAATCCAAGCAGCTCTGGTACAGTGACCGTGTCCAGTGGCAGCATCTACGATCCTCCAGTTATTGACCTTAACTACTTTTCTGACCCCCAAGACTTTGAGGTTTTGTATAAGGGAGTGGATCTGCTCAGGCAAATATTTAAACAGCCTGCATTGTCGCAGTGGTTTGGCTCAGAACTATTTCCAGACGGGGCGGACAATACAACACTCAAGGCTCAGGTTTTCACAGCAGATCATCCAATGGGTACCTGCATGATTGGAGAGGACCACGAAACATTTGCTGTAGCTGACCATGATGCAGCTGTGTTTGGGACAAGCGGACTGTATATCGCAGATGCCTCTCTCATTCGAACTGTTGACGGTGCCACACCCAATGCCTCCATTCATGCCACGGTTATATTGGTAGCTAAGATTGTTGCCAACAAGTTGGTGTGCAAGTTTGCCAATGTCTGTTTGTAGCATGGTGGGCTAGTAAGGTACACAAATATATGAGGTTGAATATAAAGGAACGATGCAAGTTTAAAAGGTTAGCTCGCTGCTGACTTTCCTGATCCAGAGCACTTCCGCATCGGAATCAACCTTGCTTGGGATAAGCTGGATGAATATTATCGGCGGTGGACGAGACGCCCATCTACTATACGGCTATGGCAAAAACTTGTTATGAAAACTCAGTACAAGCTCAGGGACCTCGACGCCAAGCGTCACATGAAGCACAAGATCAGCACACTCATCCTTGCTCTTTCACGATTGGACGGCCAGGACGGCCAGGACGGCCAGGGCAAAAAGAACGTGACGGATACCGCCTTCATCAAGACGTACCTAGACGCTCTCGGCGAGATCTACATTTTTTACGAATTCCACACCGCTCAAGCGTCAGACGGGATAAGCTACTAGTCGAACCATCACAAGCGTCGCAGCCCCCGCGCGTGGAAGACGGAAGAGACGTTGAGACTCCTTAAGCATACCGTCACAGACGGGTTCGCCAATGCCTGGGGCCAGCTAGACCCCCACGACTCCCTGTTCGAGCGCCAGGAGGGGCTCCTGCGCGGCTTGGAGCGGGTCATGTCCTGGTTCCAGTGCACCAACAGCTCAGACAGAGACGAGGAGGAGGGTCCGAAGGCAATTTGGCGTTGGTATTCAAGGACTCCTAGTCCAGCTATTGAGGAGGTGGGCTGGTGTTTTGACGCAAAAGACGTGCTGATGATGATGGGAGAGTGTGAGCGCACATCTCGCATGCGGATAGCCCTTGAGAACTACCGGGCGCGTCTCAGGATGAGCTTCCACCAGCTGGCGGCGCTGCACGCTGGTCTGATCCATGTGGCTAATATTCAGGGTGAGGGAGCAAATGACCGCAACATCCGGTGCGCAAGTGACAATGGGTACGTAAGCAGCAACATCAGCAGAAGCCTCTTGGAACAGGATATCTGGATATTGGCGGCCATGTGGACGGGAAGCCAAGACACGCTAGACCTTACCCAGGACCAGGACCAGCAACTGCAGCAGCTCACCGCCTTGGGCGGGTTGTGGGTGCGGCAATGGCGAACGGGGGCCCTCACGGCTTGGGTGAGAATGATGGCCCTCAGGTTGTTTCCGCCGAGGAGGAACTTCAAGCTTCCGTCCATCAGGTCGCAGCAGTATGTACTCAACAATTCTATGCGTGCCGTGGCCAATGCCTGGGGCTGGGAAGAGCACTTGTCGTATTCAGAGGTGTCGTGTTCGAAACCATGGCTATCGTAATGGGATATTAAAAAAATGCCCTCCTCTAAGTAGATATTGGACCTACGCTGCTGACCGGCATCATCTACTTGCACACACAGGATAACCGACGTCCGAATGACACATGTTTCGCTCCGAAACCTGAACTTGTTTCGAAAGCTTGGTGCTGAGGAGAACCTGTCCAACGTCATGCTCGTCACAAGTTGGTGGGAGGTTGCGACTCCGAGATTACCTCGGCCAGAGAGGCAGAGTTGAAGTCCCAAGGATGGTTTTGGAGCACCATGATCTCTCAGGGATGCTGCCACGGACAGTTTGGCAGAGCCGTCCATCCTAGGTGAACCAACGCTGACAGCTGACAGGTATAACAGCCAACCACAGGTGGCAGAGGGGATTGTCCGCAGGTTGCTGCAGACCACCCCTATTACCTTGAAGGCACAAGAGCCGCTCGTCTTCGAGCAAAATCCTGTAGCAGGGATCGACGCTAGCACCTTCATGCATGAGATAGTCGAGCTAGAAAAGGGGCAGGCACCAGGAAAATTTGGAAGCAGTCAATGGGGGGATGGAACTTGCGAGGAAAGAGAGGGAGAATCCCGAGCCACCATTCACCTTGGTGCGTTCTAATGCGTCTGTTAGGCGACGACTTCGGCTATAAAAGTCCCAGCAGGACAACCGCGAGAGGATGGAGATCATGAAAAGGGATCTCAAGAGCCAAGTGCCCAAAATCAAGCCCAAAGGCGCAAAGACGTTGCCCAAGATGTAGAAGTCGCACAGCAGGGAGATGAAAGATTTCGAAGCTCAAAGTCGCAATGAAATCAGCACCGTCAGGCTCGAGCACTCGGCGAGCATGGAATCGGCGCTCAGTCAGGTCAACAGAGCATAACTATTGGAGAAACGGAAGCGAAAAGCTTCTGCGAGTCAACTGAGCACGCCTGATATCATGTCACGAATCTTATCAGAGCTTAAATTTGTTGCTGTGGGTGTCCCGCGAGGCGCAAGCGGGAGAACATTAGTACCGCCTGGGAAAAGTCGATAGGCAGAGATACTTGAGGGAGCAGACAGCGATTACACAAGTATTTCCTAATAGTATTACCAACTGCCATCTTTTACCCAAGTTGGGTGAGCAGGGATGCGCCTCTGAGCTGTTTGACATTGGACAGCCTACGCGTATTAGCCTAGCGCCCTTGGGGTGTCATGACCCATTGGACCCTGGGCCATGTTGAACCTTCTGTTAGTCTTGACCTAGCATCGACTTGTTCTAGCAGAGACGTTTTGATTGCACCATCCTTTGTTGGAACGTGTAAATCACGCGAGGTGGTGTTGGCCAGTTGAGCCATCCCCTTTTCTGCAAGGGTGGCTGTCAAAGGCTCCAGTCACATCGCAGAAACGGGGTTTTCCACTTTTGCTAGGTGTTGGATAGCGTACGGCACATTCGATCCAGAGATTAATGCTCAATAGGGTGTGGATCCTGAATCTGTTGATTGTCTTCATCTAGGATGCCTCCGGCCCCCTCTTTCTCAAGAGGGGTTTTATGTCAACTGACACCCCCTCTGACTAAGGTCAGGATATCAATCTATCAGAGGCTTCGTAATACAGGGTCACAATCCAACACTAGGCACATCGACACATGACATCTGCTGTGCACGATGCAGTAACTTATCTGTCTGCCAAATGAGCAATGCGACACCAGCGAGGCACACTGACGCAAAACTGCGGCTGTGTGGGAAACTTTATTCACACACACCAACCAGGGGAGGGGAGAAGGTCACTTTTCTGACCCCTGATGTAACTTGCACTATGCCCCAAGCCGTAAGCGAGCCGGACCCGTGTCAGCCTTGCCGAATGAAAACGGTTACCCCAGATTTGTAGGTTCGCCCGGGTTCTATGGATATCAGTTATGGTGCCCAGCACAGATACGAGGGACCTTGACCAGGCCGACGGCGAGACAATCTAGACATGCTTGTTGCTGACTCTTGTTGCTGTCCTCACTTGTTGAGTGCCCTCGCTTGTTGGCACAACGAGGTTGGTTAGGCTGTGGTCTTCAAGGAAGGGTCTGGTCGAGGAGACTTCAGGGAAGCCACAGCTGGAGGCGCTTCTTTCGCCGCCATAGCCGCCAAATATGGATCATGATGGAACCGTTCAGATCGCAATCAAAAATAAGTTGGGGTCGGGCTGAGGCTGTGGCTCTCGCGAATCTTGGGGTACTTTCACAGCGGGAGAAAGTGACTTTTATCTGTTTGTGGCGTTTGCGGGGTTTGCGACGTAGTAAGTCGAGCTGAAAACTAACCCCTTGTCACCGCTGCGCTAGACAGCGTTGGTGCATAACCAACAAGAAGACGCCTGAAGAAAGCTGGACATCACACTGCGCAAAACGAACGGTCTAGACACGAGTCTCTGCAGGATTGGCGACAGGGTTTCTGATTTTAAGATGGACAACCCCCGGCTTGTGCTGCATGGGCGGTCGTCCGGTTTCTCGAATCGGTTTCTTTGTTGCATTGATCCGTCATGGAGAGCCCAACCGTGCTGGCCCTCTGGCTCTGCAGCTGCCTGGCTCTCGCCATCATGGGGACGAGACTGATTTGGAGAAAGATCGCAGGGCAGCCGTTCAATCTCGGTGACTACCTTACTATGGTCGCTGCTGTACTTTGTTTGGGTAGGCTCTCGACCATCTATGTTGTGTTAATCTGGGGGAATAGCAATGTCCCGCCTGAGATACGAGAGTCACATGTCTTTACTTCCGAAGAGATATACCAACGCACAGTTGGGGGTAAGCTTACGCTTGCTGGTCGCTGCTTTTATAATTCATTGTCAGTTCTCCCTTGCAACCTGTGCTACTTTCCTCTTTAACTAACTAATATACCTTCAAGTCTCTGGGTACAGAAGATGGTCCTCCTCGACATCTATCGCCGGTTACTACTGGGCTTGCGATATGAGAGGCATATCATGATCTTCTTCATTACCTTGATTTCTGTTACATGGGTTGTGGTCATTATTGTTATATTTGTTGAATGTCACCCTGTCCATTTATATTGGCAAGTGATTCCTGATCCTGGTAAGCCGCCTCCATTCCATTCTTCTTATATTGGTGCTTACTCCCCTAGGGACCTGCACTAAGGCCCAGCTGGAACTATTTGTTCTCGCTTGCTTCAACATCGTCACTGATGCGATGCTTCTTGGTTTCCCATTTCTCCTCTTCACCACTCTCAAAACGACCTGGAAACTCAAAGTGCGACTATACTCGTTATTTCTGCTTGGTCTATTCATCATCGTTGTCACCATCGTCCGGTTACCTATCAACAGGACGAACAAAAACAGCCAAGCGAACCGATCGATGTGGGCGAGCACCGAGCTCTTCGTGGCTACGCTGGTCGTCAATGCCCCAACAATCTACGGCTTGTGGAATAAGAAGAGACAGCACACGCTCCACTCCCGCTCTCCTGGCAGTGGAGTAGCTGGTCACAGTCTGGAGCGTGGGATGGCATCTCGCACGGCGAACACCACACAAGCCTTTGCAATGGCTTCGATGAGCCATAAGCAGGATTCCTTTGGGGGCATTATGCGTACGAAGGAGGTAATTGTGTCTGAATATGTAGAGCATAAGGAGTATGTAAAGAGGCCTGCAATACAGCTAGATGAGGTTGAGGTAGCGTCTAACTCGAGCCAACGGGGAATATTAAGGGACTGAGGGCTGGTAATATAAATAGATCATTATTTATATTATAGTAGCTAACTAAGGGATTTATATACTAGCTAGCTTTAATATATATAAAAAGGAAACTAACAATGGAAAAAAGAAAGAGAATAATTAAAAGATATTTATATATTTTAAGAATATATATAATAAGAAAGTTAGAAATATAAGTCAGTTAGAAAAAATCTCATACTATTAAGATAAAAACCTTAATAAAAATATAATAATATCTTAAATTAATTAAAATTAATTAATATTCTCTTTTTTAAAAGTCTTAATTATACTCTAATAGATTCTTATATTATAATTAATCTTTTTATAAGTTTTATAATATCTTTTTCTTAGTATTTGTAACAAGGATACCGAGCCTCACGGCCGACACCCTGTCACACACCCATATCCGGTACAAGGAGGGGTTAGCCCTGCCTTGCCTTGGTACACTAGAATGCTAACCTAGACACGCGGCCCTCTGCAAAACCCAACCGCGCGGCCTACCTCAACGAGCCCGGGGCCAGCCCTCAGGGTTTCGCCGTAGTATCTATATAATCTCGGCCTGCCGACCAGAGACTGAAGCAAGGCAAGCTTTAGTCTCTGTCTCAATTGACTACTACCTTACTCTCGCCTGGCTACTTCGTACCTCTTCGTTGACCTCATTACAGTATTACTAACTTTTATTAAGTACTATTTCTTAATAATTTAGCTATTAACATACTTGATAAGCATGTGAGCCAGACAAGTAAGTGAGCTATAAATACTATACACTAAAAAGAGCTAAACTTTAAATTTCTAAAACTAGCTATCTAATTATTAAAAATAAAATAAAAATAGATTTAATTATTTAATTAAAAAGAAAACTATATAATAATATTTTTAAACTTTTAAAAAAATTCCTTTATATAGAAATAGCTAAGTATACAGTGCGAATAAGTATTTTTAATATAGCTTATTAAGTAATTTTTAAAAAAATCTAAGAAAATTTATATTTATTTTTTAATATATAATAGAACTATTTTTATAATATTAGCTATTTTACTCTTAGTTTGAATTTTAGAGAATATTTTAAAGATATTTTCATTTAAGGTATAAATACTAGGAAATTTTAAAGTGGCTCACTTGCTTATTTGGCTTACTTGCTTATCAAGTACGTTATTTATATATTAATATCTTTCTAATTTATTTTATTTCTTCTCTTATTTAAAATTATCTTTTCTTTTTTATATAAATAGATTATTGAAGGATCGCTAAGAAGTGTAACCAGGCCATGGCGAAACCTACGTAGTCTGTGATGTCATCATCACACTTGTTCTTATAAAATGCAGCACTCCAGGTATATGATGGCTTGGGAGACCCCGATGTCTCAGTCGGAGTGTCTGAGGTAGTGGAAATGGCAGTGGCAGTAGCCGTCCAACTCTCGCATGAAAGACTAGGCGCGCAAGGCTCCCCGGGTACCGTGCAGACAGACGTTGTGACGGTCGAGACGCAAGAGCTACCTTCTGCTGTTTGAATGGGAATCGTGGTTGGCTCAGTCGTAGATTCACCTGTAAGTGTCGGGAAGTCCCTTGATGTGGTTTCACTCAATACGGTGGACATAGTCGTAAAAACTTGCTCGGCATCCATGGCTGTTGCAATCCCCAGAGTCATCTTAACCGCTCTGAAATAGACAAAAGGGCAAAGCACTTACACGAATAGAAGGATTCGATTTCACTAAAGATCGAGGCCGCCTCCTCGTCGGTAGTTATCAAGTCACCTGTCGGTAAGGGGCCTACCCATTCACCGGCATCCGTGAAGACGTCTGCCGCATTACTTGTGCTGGTGACTCCTGTTTGCGTTTCGATTGCCTCATCATCCTCTACATCGCACCCGAGGATGACATTGCTGGTTTCTAGAACTCGGCTTGTTGTAGTACCCGTCACAGTCCCAGAGATGAATACTCCATACGAGGTGGTCGTTACGTGAATAGTGGCTGACTTGGTTTCGCACGAGGTCGGCTCATCCTCGTAGGTGGGCTTGTAATCATTGCCAATTCTGCCTGATGTCAGCCAGCCATTCCCCATACTGTCTCAACCCAAAAACAGCGTGGCAGAACTTACGTGATCTTGGGCCACGGTGGAAGAGTTCCCTCGATGCTGACACCAGGCGGCCACTTGATCCCACTTGGTGGTCCACTGCAGATCCAAACTGTCAGCGCCAATACTCATATGTGTTGTCAATTGTTATGTTCATACCTGATGTATACGCCTGGAGGCAAAGTCCACTTCCGACCGCCGATTATAGGACCTCCATCCCATCGAATGCAGATCTGTTTGCCAAGTATCAATCTCTGCCACAGTAACATTCATCGATGAGAAACTCAAAAAAAAGAACCAAGCGGCACAAGGAACAACAGGGTCATTATCGTCCTCATCTGGCTCAGGCACCTCAGTTTTCACAGGTATAATAGCTAACGGTGGCCACTCCGTGTGAATGACCAATGGACCGTCAGTCACAGTCGGATCATTGTCTGCCCTTCCGTAGTAGAAGATGGGTTTCCTTGTTCATCGGTGGTGATAGGAAGAGGGTTGCTATCCTTATCGGTGGTACTAGGAGATAGAATGCCGTTCTGATCTGTGGTGCTAGCGGGAGGGTTGCCCTCTTCGTTGGTGGCGGTAGGAGAAGGGTCGGCACCTTGATCCGCGGTACTAGAAGGTAGACTACCGTCGTCATTAGTGGTGCTGGGAGGAGTGTTGCCCTCCTTAGTAGTGGTTGGATTCGAGTTGCCTTCTTTGTTAGTTGTATTAGGACGAGGGTTTTCTTCTGTAGTGGTGGGGATAGGTTTGCCATTCTGATCAGTGGTCGGAACAGGGTTATCCTCCTCATCAGTGGTGCTAGGAGGAGAGGTTTCACCCTGGCCTGTAGTCGAAACTGGGCTACTATTCTCATCAGTGGTATTAGGTGATGCGTTTCCTTCTGTAGTAGTTGGGAGATGGCTACCCTCCTCATGAGTCGTGTTAGGGGGCGTGTTTCCTTTTGTATCGGTCGAGATAGAGCTACCATTTTCATCAGTAGTGGGATTCGGGCTGCCTTGGTATGTGGTGTTAGGGGGTACATTTCCTTCTGTAGTGGTCGGAACGGGGTTGCCCTCTTCATTAGTTGTGCTCGGAGGAGGGTTACCCTCATCGGTGGTAGGAACAGGGTTTCCTCCGTCATCTGTAGTGCCAGGCGGATTTCCATCCTGAATAGCAGTTGAGATGAGGCCACCGCTCTCTTCAGTGGTGTGAATAGAGGTTGCAGTTAAGGCATTAGTCGGTAGAGGGTTTCCCGACTCATCATTGGTGGTGACAGGGCCATCATTCTCATCCGTTGTTGGGACGGAGCTACCCGACTCGTTAGTAGTCATGGAAGGGGTTCCATCTTCGACTGTACTCGGACTTGAGCCGCCTCCATCTGTGGTGCTTGGCGAATGGCCCCCGTTGACGGTGCTAGTCGGAGGGCCACCGCTATCTATGGTCGTGGGGTCGGATGGAGGGCCACCAGCAGAAACTGCACCGCAGGCGCCATCGGCTCGGCAGACATGGCCAAAGTTGCAACAGCCGAAGACGCCTGATATTCAAGTCAGATGTCTATTGCAGTGGGTGGCATGGTTTGTGATGGAATTATCCGAGTTTCAATTCAACTTACAGCAAGTGGTGCCTAATCGGAAGAGGATTAGTAAAGAAACATGACAGCAAGACCGCCTCGGACCTACCATATCCGCAGATGTGCTTCTTCCCATTAGGTGTGTCACAGCAAGTCTCGCCTTGACGGATGGGACGGTCTCCACAGAGGACTTCGTAGCCCGATCGTCTATTATTAAGGACACCTGCCAAAGCGGCAGGCAGGAACACGCTCGCCAGCAGGTAGGCTGTTCCGAACCTCATGGTGAAGATACGGGGCGGCTCTGATGGGAACAAGAGGACTGAGCGACTGTGTACGAGCAGTGATTGATGTAAGAGTGCAACGAGTGGGATGGATGGCTTCAGTCAGGACACTGGAGGGTTGATAGGTGGGCTGCGGACAATGATATTCTCGGGTTTCTATGAGCCCTAGTTGGTCAAGTAGCAGCACGGCTTTGAGCAAATTCCACAAATAAACCATATGATCCTTCTTAGCTGAGTCTTACGATATACTCTGATTTATAATGTATTCAATCTAGGCCTGCTGAATACTGCCCCAGCGTGTTGGTCACAACCAACTTAGTTGTTGGAGCGTGGCTCCATCAAGGCACGATTCTACGATATCAAAATAGCACATTTGTTGGTTACAGCCAACACTTTGCAAAACTCTGTTTCCTCTCTCTCTAATTTGCCTCACTGAATACTTCGATGCTTAGTGTTTTGCGTGTGACTCCAACAAGGCACGCGTCGACGATATCAAAACAGCACATTTGTTAGTTACAACCAACACTTTGCAAGGCTCTTTTTCGTCTTTTCAATCCCCCTCACTGAATCCTTCGATACCACATCTACCAGGCGGCTAAGACAGTATGCTTAGTTTGAGAGTGTTGGTAGTCAACCAACAACTTGTTAAATCAAGCGACAATTCACATTAGGCTAAATCCCTTGGGGCTGTGTCGGGCGAAGGGATTCAGAGATGGTGTGGAGGCAACAAAGTCTGCAGATCGGCGTCTAGATAAGTCCGATCAGTGGATAAGAGAACTTGCTCATTTGCAGGGACGAATAGGGTATCACGATGAGCTCTCCAGAGCGGGCCTCGATCCTTGTGGGTCGTGCCATTCTCCCGCGAGACCTGCGATTTGTCTGAGGCTAATGACCCTTGTCAAGGTTGCATGTATAATAAACTTGACCACTGCAAATACGAAGTTTGGCACAGAACGTGGGATTGTGGCGCTGTGCTGAGCTGTTGGTCCGTAGCTTATAATTAATCTATTGCACGTCTTGCACTACCCCGGATGAAACAAAGTCTACATGACCTAACCTAGACTGGGATATGCCGGAAACGTCGCGTTCTTCATTGGGCTAATCTTTGCAGTCGTATGGATCCTTCAGGTTTCAGAGTTGCATGGTAATTTATAGATGACAGATGGGTCTGGTTGTCTAGGGGTGTGTATAGGAATTGTAAGCGGCAAGGAATCGAGTCTTTTGTCAAGTGATAAAGAGGTCAACCACACATTTAGGTTCTATAAGTACTACTTGGTCATTGTATTTGCCTAGGTAGTCAAACCAGTTGGTATTCTCACATCTGTCTTCTGCCCGTAGCCCCAACTGCCCAACGGTTCATTGTGATCTTGATTCCAGCCAAGGATGAAGAAGATACTCGTCTCTTTCCTGGCCATTGGCCAAAGTCTCGGCATTACATGGACTCGAATCGGCTGTGACGATGCCTGGTTGGCAGACCACATTGATGCCCAAGGAGGTCCCATGACTATCGATCCAGACGCCGTCTGGGCCAATGCGGTTGCGCTGAGCAAAGGGGCTCGGGAAGCAATCGCATCGCTCAGCGGCTACAAACCCTTCCCAAGAGAGGCCCGAAAAAATGCTGGAGCCAGCGCAAATTTCATCTGGAACACCGAGTTTGCAGCCCATCGAGGATTGGCAAGTTCCAGCGAGGGCGACATGGACGAGGTCACCAGTAAATTGAGACCAACTCGAGCGCCGAAAATTCAGCAGTTTTGCTAAAAACGTATTTCTCATACAGGCGTGTATCGCGACATCGAGAGTGCACTTGCGGGAACCTTGCAAGTATCGACAGCCCAGCCAGGATATCTATTCTGCGGCGGTCGTGAATTGACAAAAGACAGAGTGCCTGGCATTCGTGAGTAATTGGCCCTGCGACGACTCAGTATCCGAAGCGGGCAGAGAGCTCATTCTCATTGATAGGCGATGATCCGGTGTGGTATGCAACAGTCACAGAAGCTGGCGAGGGTGGCCGTCTAGGGACGACTGACTATATCATCCCGCGTGTTTTTGAGGGTATGTTACCTTATATAGATGTGCTGGCACTCTTGGTGGAACTTGTCAACGGCTAATCATTGGACCAGGTGCGCAGACTAAGCCGTGCAAGGAGGAGGGCAGTCAAGCGTACTTTGGCAAAACCTTCTACGGTAAAAAAGCCGGCAGCGGCCCAGAGGAAGAGATTCTGGGAATCGTCTTGTGCCCCAACCACTTTAAAACGGCAGGCCTCCGAGGATACGCCACCCTCGACGAAGGGTACGCCACGGAAGCAATGAATGGAAACAAGAAGCCTTACGTAGCATACTATCACTCGTTGTCTGGAACCCTGCTCCACGATATGGTGCACGTCGTGGGCCACGCTCGGGACCCGAGGCCTCCACCGGCAGGCGGATGTAAGTTGCTTTGGAGCTGCCAGATGGAACTGGCTCATCAAGTCCTCTCTCTCACGTGTGCATTGGCTGACATGCGGCCCAGACCATGATAAGGCGTCAGGCTTCCGGGACCAGTACAAACTAGCACGCGGAGTTCCCACTGATCCGTCCGGCAACCCAGACAAGGCGGCTCACGAACAAATGCTTCACAACCCAGACGGTTATCGCCTTTTTGCTGAGATGTGCCGATCCCCTGACACAGCATGGGGCTACCCCGATGCACCACCGGCATAGGCAAAGGCTTAGGCTTATTTAGATGAGGACGGAATGGACGGGATGGATGGAGAGGCATGTCTTTGGTTAAGGTATGCAAGAGGTTAGTGAGATACGTCGAGGGTACTTGGTAGTTAGGAGCAATGAGCCTCCTGTTTCCATGTAATTAATAAGTAACTACCTAGTTGTTGGATTAACCCCCGGGTGGCAGAATAAGGCCCGGATAAGAACAACCCTCTGGTACATCAATATCCTGTCTTAGTCATAATTAGGCATGTAGGTAAGTAGGTAGGTACGCTGTGAGATTGATCCAACCATTACTCCGTACAGGTACATAGAAACCACGTTCCCTTCCCTCCCTTTGCCCCAGATTTCCTTAGTATTCTGTTGTGTCGCACTTGACCTAGTCTTTGCTCCTCTTCTTGAGAGCCATTCCGTCTGCAACTACGAATACCGTTATAAGTTATCGTTCTAATCATGCCACGGAAAATGACCCGCCACTTTGGCCTGGGCCGTCGTCCCTCGTCCAACGCAGCCGAAGCCCACCAGGCGATTGCTCATGACCAGCACGAGACATTGCACGTACCCGCCAACATGGTGGAAATCAAGGCACGCACCCCAGTCCCTCTGGACAGCACCAAACCATCCATAGTCCAGCTCCCCGATCATGTTTTGCTTCTCATTCTGGACCTCCTCCAGCACGTGCGCCCCGAGGCCTTACAGTCCGTGGCCTTGGTGAGCTCGTCGCTGTACTACCAGGCCCGCCATGCCCAGCACCAGCATGTGCGCGTCGACCTCGACAGGCCAAATCATGCCCTCGAACGCCTCAGCCTTGTCAGCCGTCTCGTCCAAGCTGCTGCGGTCCAGGAAGTTCGAGTCGTCGGTTGCAAGACACGCAGCGAGGATGCCAAGGGCCGCAGCCAAGTCTTGGTCCGCCTGGTCAGCATGATACCCTCCATGACGGGGCTGCGTCACTTGTATTGGCATGTTAGTCGACCCAGCACCGCATCTGCACATGATTATGCCGGATCGACGTCGGTGCCCATCCCATCAAACGTCATGGCCGTTCTGCCTCGTCCTGGCCCTCATGCTAGCCCACGTCTAGTCCAATTACACACACATATCTGCTGCAACGCCCTTCAAGACTCCCATGTTGAAACCCGCACCTTCCTAAGCAACCTCGAGGATAGCCAGAATCTGTCGACGCTCTTTGTCGAGGTCATCTACATGAATGACCAGATGTGTCTCGACACCATGCGCGCCCTGAAACGTGTTTTGCTCTCGTGCCCAAACCTCGCCAGACTTCCCCAAATTGATGTACACTATCCTCGCGGAACATGCTTTGGGGGCGGTCCCATGGCTCCATACTGTGGTTTAGGCTTCTCCGGCGACGAAAAGCCACCTCCCCTCCAAGAGCTAGGCGTACGCGACTATCCGTGGGGCGGCCCAAGATACGAGGGTTATCCTATACAAGCAGGGGAAGCGCATCACTGGGCCAGTACATTTGACTGGTCGCGGCTGGTACGCTTGAACGACGTGTCAGACTATCTAGCGACCGCAATGGCACCCAATCTTACCATGCTCAGGGAGCTGGTCCTTGAGGCACCGGCCTCGTACGGCTTGGAGCTGCTGGATGATATTGCATCACCACTAAAAATGCTGAGCTTTTCGAATTGGAATCGTGTCGGCAATGAACCCAAGCGAATCACAAAGTTTGCTGCAACACTCCAGCGGTTGAGCGTGCATGAGGATGAATCGGGCTGGAGATATGACCGACATGGCTTCGTCACAACCCCCGACCTCATACACCTGAGCACAAGTCTGCCCAACCTTCAACACCTGGCTCTAGACATGGAGCGGGATAAGGAGGCGCGGCAATGGCCATACGCGGTACTGGACGCTATAGCCGCCTTTCCCAGCCTGCGCACCGTCGAACTATGGTTTCCCTTGGGTGATGAACCGCCAGCACCCACGCCTCTTCTCACTATATCCTCAGCCCGCCATCTTGGCGATTACCTACGGGAGCGGAATGACATGATACAGCGTGTGACGCTCCACTCGGGAGCCCCGGGCCCCGACTCGGGACACCCCTCGAGACACCTCTTGGGGACCGATCTCTACATCCCCGGTCCATCATGGGCTGAGCATAATTCAGTCACTTTCGAGTACGAAATGGCCTATGATAGTGAGGTTATAGACCTCCGGCGGAGTAGTATCACTTGTCTGGACCTAAGCTTCGCCATGAATGCGCGCCTCTACCAGCTAGCCCAAGGAGGACCCCGACAGCAGACGGATCCTGGAAAACTCAATGCAGATGAGTTGTGCCTCATTGTGGCCCTGGACGGTCCGCTGAATAAGGTAGAATGGAATACCTGGTTTAATAAGCAGCCAGAGGTCCTTGCACATCGAGCCGATATGCAACGTATGCACGATGAGATAGAGGCTGTCCATAACCCACCCTCACTACTACATAGGCTAGCTAGGTCATTAAAGAGATGAGAATTTAATAGCTATTTTAGCGCTTTAATATTCAAGACTGGGCTTAACTCAGAATCGCCACGCCTCGGAAGCACCACACCATAATAGTTATATATAACTTTATACGTCTTGTTGGATTATAGATTTAAGGGATATAAGATGAATAGTGAAGCAGGAAAGACTGTCTTTATATACACTGAAGATATAGACTGATATTGGAAGATAACCCTGCATTAGGAAACCTCTAATAGATCGATATCCTAACCTTAGTCAGAAGGGGGGTCTGATAACCCCTCTTCTGGCCGGTCTGGATGACCGGCACAGGAAAGGATCAACATCATCATCATCAATTTGAACATTATTCCTTTGATCAATTTGGCCGAAGCGGATTCAACACATTCAGCTAAAATCTGAAACCTGATTGTCATGGCCTGGCCGCGACCTGCAATGTAATAAACCCTGGAACTGGGTGTCCCTAGGACACCGGCTCCCCAGCTATTAATAGAACTTGGTTACCTAGCTTACTGCAGCAGCTAAATATTACCAGACGTAGCACCCTTACTCTACTGTTTTACCCCTTTTGCAGTAACCGTACTACGACTTACAGCCAAACGTCCTGATCCCTACTACCTGAACCCCACGATCCGCGCCTACCCTAGACCGTCAGCCTGGACCAAGCACAGTCGTCACACCTACCTGCAATAAGTTTGCAGTCGATATCGACAGAGGGATAGTTAATAGACTCTATAGCGCGTGGCTCTTTATGTGAAGGTAATACTGTATTGAGAATGAGTTTGTGTAATTAGTTATTTAAGCTTTAGTTTTTAAGTATAAATAGATATAGTTATTACTCTAATTATAAGATTAAAACTTTAAAAAAAACTTTAAATTAATTTAAATTATATAAGTTAGTATAGTTAGAATTAAAGCTGCTTTTATTATACTTAAATTTTTATTATAAGCCTTAATATATTAAAAAAGGCAGTTATAACTTAAAAAGGCTTTTTTATAATATTTATATTATAAGAATTTTACTAAGTAGTAAGATTTATTTTTAATAGCCTATTAAAAGAAAATATAGTAGTTAGTAAGATAATACTTTTTTAAAATTATTTTAAAGAAAAAAAAATATTAGTAAATTTTATAAATAAAATTAAAGTTAGTAAAAAAATTAGAGATTAATTTTATTATAGCTATAATATAAACTTATTATAATTTTACTAAAAAAGCTAAAGTATCTAATAGTAAGGCCTTATTTTTATTATTAATATTAAAAAAAATAAAACTTTAATTAAACTTAAATTTAAACTTAGTCTTAGCTACTTAATATTTCTTCTTAAAAATAACTTTTTTTATACTACTATTTTATTAATTATAATTATAGTAATTATCTTAAAGCTTATTATAATAGTAATTATTATTACTATTACTTTAAGCTTTATAATTATCTTAAAAAAAGTAGTTATAATTATTTTATTAGTTATTATAATTATAATATTAATTATTATAGTTATAGTTATTATAGTAATTTTAAAATTAGTTTTTATATTAATTGCAATTTTAATTACTAATATAATTACAATTTTATTAAATAGAAAAATAATTATTTTAATACTCTTATTACTATTAAGCTATTTCTATAATAACTAGCTAAAAGTTTTTATACTTATAGATAAAATTAAATAGCTTATTTTTAAATTTAAGTATATTAAAAAAATAGAAGATCTTATAATTAATCTATAAATAAATAGCTTAAATAATAAATTAATTCTCTATAATATCTAGCTACTTAATATATACTATTTTATATTAAACTTATTAAATAAAGCTGATATTTTTATTAATAAAATTAAAGATATATTTTTTAATATAAAAATTAGCTGTAATTTTAATATTAAAGTATTTAAAATAGGCTGTAAGCTTCTTATAGAACTTATAAATAGGGGTATTATAATAGTTATACTAAATTGCTATACTAAGAGGTAAAAAATTAGTTAATAATTACTATAATAGTAATTATCTAGGTATATTACTATATTATAGAACTCCTATTACTATTTAGTAAATTAAGCTATAATATAATATCTCTTCTTACTAAGGCTAGTTTCTAGCTACTTAATCTTAGGCTGGAAGATCCCTTATTTAATATATAGCTAACCTCTAAGAAAATCCTATAATAGCCCTATATATAAGAGGTAACTCTAAATCTCATACCTTTTTTTAATATATATAAAAGCTAGAAATTCTTATAAGCCTGGAATTTAATTTTAAATATAGAATTAAACTAAAGACTTACTATATAGTAATTATTATATAATAGTTATATTAAACTACTATATTAGGGGGCAAAAAATTAGTTAATAATTGCTGTAATAGTAATTATCCGGGTATATTACTATACTATAGAACCCCTATTACTATTTAGTAAACTAAGCTATAATAGGTATTAAGAAGCTTATTATACTAATTTATACTAAGCTTATCTATAAATTATCCTTAAGCTTTACCTCTAAGTATAGAGATATAATAATTTTAAAGGGAGTTTTTACTATAATACTTAAAGACTTAAAGATACTTATAGAAAAGATATATATCTATATAAATTTACTTACTCTAACTAATAATTAGGCCTATTTTCCTAGAATTCTTATAATTTAAGTTAAAGATACTACTAGCCTCTTTCTTAACTTTCTCTAAGAGTTATTTCCAGCTATTATAAAGATATAAAATTAATCTTATTAGGCCCGGCAGAGGGTATTAGCAATTATATTTTTATTGCTTGAAGAGTTATTAGAGGGCGGGGTTTGAGGAAATATAGAGCTATACTAGCTTCCTCGTAAAAATTAGATTATAGGTCTTAAAGCTATCTCTTAGATTTAAGCCAGGCTCTAAGAGTTAGATAGCTTAGGGGTATTATATTCAGGCTCTAAGAGCTTTCTTATAGTAATAAGCTTAGTACTAGTTAATTTATTAGAAGTATTAAAGTTAAATTACTTTATAATAGCCTTTTACTACTAGCTAAGGTAGTTAAGATTAGCAGTTTTAATATAAAGTAACTTAAGAAGGTTCTATATATAGCTATTATAAGCAGTAAATTTTAATATAAACTATTAAAAACTATAAATAATATTATTATTCTAAAAAATTAGAATTTTAAGAATTTCTTAAATAGAAATTTTACTAAGAAAATAAATATAATAAAAACTCTATTTAAAAGCTTTAATATTACTAGAATTTTTAAATTATTTAGTTATACTAATTTTATTAAAATTCTTAATATTTTAAGAGGCAGTTAAGAAGTATTTTTATTATAATTTATAAGATAGTAAAATAATATTAAACTTATTATTACTATTATAATTACTATATAATTAAGCTATTATATTCCTATTTAAATATTATAGTAGTATTAGATATAGTAAGAGTTAATATAATAAGGTTAAGATAGTAATTATAAGGTTATAAAAAGGATATCTTAGTATTATATTCTATTAAGAAAATTAACACTAAGCTTAAATAAATTAAGTATAGCCCTTAAGATCCAATTATCAGAAAATTATATACCTTCTAATTAGTAAGCTTAGGGCTCAGCTGCTAATTTTAGTATATAATAGATCTAGCCTAGGGGGTTAAAATAGCAATTAGCATAGCCTTAAAATCTAAGATAGAAAGGGGGGTAGCTACAGACTTATCCCTTCAAGGGATATTATACTTTAGTATATTTCTTATATAAGAGTAATAGCATGAGAGGGTGTAGAAAGGGCGGCGGCTCCTGTATTATTGAAAAGGATAGGATCCAGTTGGTAGCTGGTCGTACTACCAGGGATCGTGGTTGTTTGGTTAGCCGGGGGCCTGGTAGTCGGAAGACCTGGTGCCTTAACGAATTCAATTGCAGGCTTGTTAACTGTGCGATAGCTGCAATTGCTACTATATGATGCAAATAGGGTTACTAGTTACGTAAGTGAGGGTGTCATGAAGATGTGTAAAGAAGGTTGATTTATCTATCTTGCGGTCGAGGGCTCGGGACCGTAAGGGTCCCGACCCACGTGACCGCATAAGGCCTGATGCCTCAGGCCCGACCCTGAGCATGAGGCTCAGGATCGGTCTTTCCGCATCATCCCGTCTCGTTATCCGCTAATTCCCGTCTTTGTCTCAATGAGGATCTTGACGTCCGATGGACTCAGATTTGGCCACATCAACTGCTCGATGAGCCGTTGACAGCCACAGTAGCAGCAACGCGACTTGCGCCGAACTTTCCCTGACAAAACCCCTCGAAGTCCACAAGCCTGAACTGGCCAGGGCCGAGTATAGTCGTCCCACTCTGAGTCTCGGGATTACGCGTTGCTAGACCAAACGGCGCGACACTCGAGTTTGAGATAAGCGGATAAAGGCCGTGACAGAGCTGCTGATCCATACCACTTGCAGTGGGCCAGGTGGTGTACCTTCCACAAGGCGTCTTCCGCGTCTCAAGCGACGCAACAACGATAAGAACAAGCATCAGCGACAGCAGAATGGCGGTATACACCTTGTACCACAGGGAGGTGATACAGGGAATGATGGTGGTGGCCGTGCGCGCCCGGACGAAGTAATAGATGTAGATGAGGGCTGTGGCTAGTAGGAAGAAGAAGTAGAACAGGCTAAGCAAGAAGGTTGTCGTCGTGGCGGCATTTTGATTCTTCCCGGGGAGGATGTAGAAGGCGCAGACAGCGCAAAGGAAAAGAATCGGAAGTAGATAAAGGACACGAAACAGCCAGCTGCGCCAGTCGGTCGCAGGGCGGATGAGACTTGGGGCAGACAAGTAAAGAGGTTCCAGAAGACTCATCGAGGTGGTTATGGAGGACTCCACAGCAAACGGTTCCATCTCCTCCGCTGCCGAGCCATCCCCCTTGCACACGCCGTCGGTCGCTTGAGGCTGCTGCTGTTGGTGCTCAACACGGGAATAGACAAAATCCTCCGTCAGCCACGGCGCGGCACACAGCCGCAGGAGTCCGAAGACGGCCAGCGGCCCGAATATGGAGTCAATAGCCAGCGTGCCGCTGAACACGCCACCCCACAGGCCCGAGACCAACTGGTAGACGGCCTGCGCGCCCTGCACCGTCACGATCAGCGACTTGAGCGTAGTAGCAGAGAAGAGCTCCACGTGGGCGTGGGCGGGTAGCTTGACAGCGTGCAGGCGGCTCGCGGCGGCCATGGCATCGGAGCCGTCCCAGCCGCGAGCGGTCCAGAAATGGGCGTTTGCGGCGGCCATGTCGGCGGCGGCCCAGTTACGGGTGCGCAGGCGCCGGTCTGCGATGGCCAAGTAGCGCCATAGGATCGAGGTCGGATTATATTGGCAGATGCGCTCGTGCCAGCTTGGGCGTCGGGGCCCGAGGAAAGAGGGCTCGGGCACGCCGGCCATGATGTGTGCGATCAAGGGCGCCAGGCACAGCGTGAAGAGGGAGACCCAGTCTGTCCAAGGGATGTCTTTGGATTGGTAAGTGAGGGGAAGGACTACAGAGGAGTAGTTGCTTGTGATATTCAGGGCGTGAGCGCGGGACGGGTGGCTCAGGATGAGGAGCAGTGGGTACCATGAAGTTGGCATTTTGATGGACATCTGCTCCGGCTAGGTAGTTGATAACTAAGAGTGGGTGAGATTTAACGGCGGAATCCCAATGAACCGCCGCTTGTTTTTTTAGTAACGGCACGTGATCTGACGCTCGGCCACAAAAGAGGACGATAGGGATCCCGCCGAAGTCTTAAGAGGTTCTACTATGATTATAGTAAATGCGGTCTAGTTAGCGATATATCAGCCGGAGGGCGATGCTCTGTTCTGGGTTGAGCGGACGACTGGGCCAGCTGCCTCCCCGCCTTCCCCGCCTTAGAAATCGACGTCGACGGCCAAAACTGGATGCTCGCAGATAGGCCTGAGTTTTGGTGGATCCTTGCGGACACGGCAATGAGGCGACGCGGCTACACGGCAAATTTGATGATGTAAAGGAGCAGCGGGGCGTCAGCTTCAAGTAATTACGCGTCTGTTTTTTTTGAATGGAATTCCGCTTTAGGAAAGAACCGTGTATATCCCAAGAGAAGAGAGGTTACTCGACGCCGACAGCTGACAGCAAAATGCGAGACTTAAAGTTGACCCTGTTCTCGCTCTCATCGTTTGAATCCTGGTTAACTTGTGGGCAATGTTACAACTAAGGGCGGGGCTGGCTCGTGACAGAAATAAACAGTTTAATTGGCCAAGCTCACAGCTGCACCCACAACTGTAATACCCTGGAAACTCGAAGTTGAGGGATTTTGAATGACTAGATGTTGCTCCGGCTTCCCGGCATCTGCAAATACACGAACTCTCTGGCACATATAGGCGCAGGGTGAGCACTAGTGCATGGATTTGCTTCGGTATGACTCACGCCGTTCCTGTAACTCCATAACCCTGTATTTGACCCACTCAGATTTGATGATGCCTTCTTGAAGCTGGGTTTGGGAGATTCAGAGGGGATTTTAGGTTGGTTGACTTTTTTATTAAAGAGGCGGATCCTTTGTTTGTAATTATAACTTAAAATTGTATCTAACTACCTAAGTTGTTACCTCTTTACTTATTTTGTTTCATTCCTGTTCTTATACAACTCCTAAAATGGCAGCCAAAACCACACTCTTCATGACGCCAGAGGAGTCAGTGCGGATCCAGAAGACAGTTCAAGATCGAATGCAGAAATGCCAGGAGAGGGCTGGTCAGTCGAGGGAGCGCAGCGATCCAAGCACTTTAATCCAACAGGCCACTTCGGTGTCTTTGATGCAGGACCTTTCGTTCGCAGCCTTTGGACTCGGAACGCTGAAAAAGAGTCAGGATACCATGGTAGCGTACGCCGTCGGTCGCCCATATTTGCCTTGTACAGCCAACCTGGAGGACTTGCAGCCCATGAAACTCGCCGATCTTCGAATGGAAACGCATCATCTTGGGCGCGTGCTCTCCTTGCGCCGCGTTTCCCCAGTGGCCGAGCTTGAGGCTTCCTCTTGGGCAGTTGTGCAAGGAGAATTGCCTGACGAGGCAGAGAGAATCGAGATCTTTCTGCATAAGTCTAAGCACGGGAAAGATATCTTGAATATGTCTTCTGAGTTTCTCGTCAAAGAGCCATACTATACCTTGAACAACCAGGGGGAATGTACCATCAGAGTTGATCATCCGTCAGACCTTGTCATTTCTACTTTGAGCGATGGTCCAGAGGAGTGGCGACGTAAAACATTTGGTGATGTAACACATGTCGTTAAATCACCCGGTGAGTACAAGGAACAGGGCAATGCCGCCCTCCAAAAACAAGACCTCGCGCGGGCCCACGCCCATTACACCGAAGGACTACAGTCGATTTCGGAAGATGCCGAGACAAGAAAAACCTTGGCTCTGAATCTCTACCGCAACCGGTCTTACGTCAACCTCCTCTTGAAGCGTTTCGACGAGGCAAAAGCCGACGCTCTCTCATCCCTCACACACAGCGAAGACGAGGAACAGAAGAGTTTGGACGCAAAGGCCTACTACCGTGCCGGCCTCGCGGCATACGCTCTCGGCGATTTTATGGACGCCAAAAGCCACTTTGAAGCACAGGAGAAACTCCAACCCGACAATGCGTACGCGAAGTTCAACCTGAGGAGAATCGAAATGCGGCTTCAGGAAGAAGCGACCGGCCTGTACAATCTTAAAAAGGCCGTCGGTAGCCTGTCCAAGAACCAAGGACGACCAGACGTCGCGAGCTTCAATGGCCACACAGAGGTGAGAAGCAGCCCAGGAGCAGGTCGCGGCCTGTTTGCGACGCGTGATATCCCGCCAGGCGACATCGTCATGTGTGAAAAGGCTTTCTGTGTCGTCTGGGGGTATGAGCCCGAGGCTTGTTGCACCCTCACGTGCGACGTTCGAGATGATGCCACCATCAGAGTCTTCCCAGCCGGTTTACAAAAGGCAGTTGTTCAGAAGCTCTTGAACAATCCATCGCAAGCAGAGAAGGTCTTGGATCTCTTCGGCGATTGCACAGGTCTTGGCAACAAGCTGCTCGAGCGCGATGGTGGTCCCATAATCGACACTTTCCAGATCCACGACATCATCCAGCGAAACGCATTCGGTCTGGGTCAGCAGACTGAAGACGAAGACATCAGCAACGCCAGCACCGGCCTCTGGATCCGAGCGTCGTACATTAACCATTCCTGCGTCCCTAACACCAAGAAGGATTACATCGGCGACCTTATGATCCTTCGCGCCACTCACTATATCACCGGCGGTGAGGAAATAACGCACGGCTATGACGAGTCGAGCGATTACGAGGCAAGGACTGCTGCACTCCACAAGAACTGGGGCTTCAAGTGCTGGTGTGCACTATGCGCTGTGGAAGAGGCAGATGATCCTGCTGTGCGCAGGCTGCGGCGGGAGCTTGAGGGTAAGGCAAATGCCTTTGTGGCAGGGGAAAACACACATGGGGCAAGCAGGTTACTGTTAACTAAGGCCAAGCGACTTCGCCAGTCTTTAAATGATACGTACGATACAGAGAGATATAACGGGTTACCTCGGCGGGCGCTTCTCACGATTGAGCATTGGCTTCAGCGATCAACTCGTAGATAGTTCTTTCCAATATAAAGCAGGACTACAACCTCTGACATCTGCTCAGCAATTTCTCTCTGATCTTGTAGCTCTAGCCCCTCAGCTCCTGTTATACTCCCTGAATGTCACAGTGGTGTTTTTTTTCGCTCTGTACTGTCAGCTAAGAGTTATATTTGCCTTCTGAAGCTTGTTAACTTCTGCCTTTAATATTACTATTTAGTATATTATTCCTTGTGCTTTCTTTATAAGTTGCTCTATAGCAGCTAGAATAGATACCAGAGAGCTGCTCTAATAACAGCTGATTTAATCTTTAATAAAATTAATTTACAAAGTAGCTTCAATTAGGTTATTTAGGGGTTTTAAAATCTTAAGATTAAGCAGCTTTAAATCCCCTTTTGTATATAATTTAGCGACGGGAAAGGTCAATAGCCAACACTCAAATTATCTACTGTTCCTTAAGAGGGTGTACAGAAAAACATCGCACAGGCGTCTTGCTTGGTCGGCCCGAAGCCGCACCAGACTGCCAGATGTGCTGTAGTTGAATTATTGCTGAAGTCTCCGAATCTCTACACTACTTGCAGACTATGCATATGTAGTCGGATTGTCCTGAGGCTTATGTCTCCTAATAGGAAAGTATCTAATCGGATGCTCTATCGGGTCGGCCGTAGGAAATAATGGTGGCAAGGCATCGATAAGGAAAGGACATGCCATCGCTATGCACTAGATCCATGCCCGTGCAAAAGAACCGTCCTTCGCCCGAGAGAATGATAGTGCGAACTTCTGGGTGATTGTTAATCTATTTCAAGGCAGAAACTAACTCGGATAGTAGTTGTAGTTGTAACAAGTTCCCCGATTGTAGCCTATTAAGCTTTACTAAGGTAATATAATTATTTTATATAAGCTATATAAGTATATCGGTATATATAGGCAGCTTTATTATATTATATCCTAAGTTAAGATAGTTAAATATAGCTTTATTTAGGGGATATTACTTAGTAGTAGAATATTTTAGCTATAATATATAAAGAGATAGTATTCTTTTTAGTTACTTAGAGGGTATATTAAATTAATATAACTAGTTAATATTAAGATTAGTTTTATAATAGATATAACAGTCGGATCTAACCTAAGAGTATAGAGTAGGTCCGAGGTATAGGGTATATAATTAAGTGGATCAGGACGTTATAGTGAGTAATATAAGTCACGGTCTAGTAATAGTAAAATAGTAGATTTAATATAACTAAGTATATTAATAGCTAGTAAGGCTATCTCTCTATAAAAGTACTAAGTAAATATATATATATACTATAATAGATTACGGGGATTACAGTAATAATCCCAGTAAGCTACTGCTCTAAATTATACAGATTGCAGTAGTAATCCAGTAATTCTTTACTTAATTAGTTATTATATTGGGGATTGCTAGATTATAGAAGTAATCTAAGTAATTTTTATTAATTAGAGAAGAATAAAGTAGGGTATTATAGTTCTGCTACTTAAGACTGCCTAATTTTAATTTAGGCTGTAATATAATATCTCTCTTTCTATTAGTCTTATTTTAAGGTTATATTTATAGATCTCTATATTCTTATTATATTTTATAGGTTTAACTTACTTTTTAATTATTTCTATATATTAATTATTATATTAGGGTGTATTTAAAAATCTACTAAAATTTTATAGTATTCTTTTTTATATATATTATTAATTAGAAGGGTTATAAAGTTATTATATTTATTCTTATTATTTTAATAACTATAAAATTTATTAGGTATTTAAGAAGTTATCTTATTATAGTAAATATATTTATTGCAGGTATTTATATAATAATTAAATATTGCTTTTTTTGTGAGTTATATTTTTTTTTCTATTAGGGATTTTGCTAATATTATTCTAAGTATCCAGAACTTAAAGCCTAATAAAGCTTAAGGCAGATATTAAGTAAGTAAGAGTCTATTAGCTAAAATATAGCTAGACTGGCCTATTTATATACTTAGTATTATTCCCTTTATAAGTATAGTTTAGCACTATTTTTATAGGGCTTATATAAGGTAGATAAGTTAATAGAATATATTTCTAGGAGGAGGTATTACTTATTAAGCAGTAGGCTATTAGGAAGGCTTAGCTATTAGGGGCTGTAGATATAATTAACTAGCCTTCTATTTTTAGAGTTCTTTCTAATTTTACTTCTTCTTCTAATATTATTAATAAAATTCTTTAAGAGGTATTATATATAGGTGATTTTTTTATAGATTCCTACTAGTTTTACTTTTAGGGTAGTTTTTCTATTTATAAGGTATTTAATTTTATTATTATTTTTTATATCTTAAGAATCTTTCTTAATTTATATTCTTAGGGCTTTAACTTCTATTTTATATTTATTACTAAACTTAGCTATAATATTTCCTTTTATACTTTAAGAGTAAGATATAGAAGATAGAGTAAAGTCTGACTTTTAGTAATAAGTTTAAATAGTAGTTATTTTCTGAGATTTTTTTAAGAATTTTATAGAGTCTAATATATTTATAGTTTAGTTTTTTATTTTATTATTTTATTTTAATGTTTTTTATTATAAGAAGAACTATATCTTCCTTCTAGAAGAATAATCTCTTTATTCTTTTTTAGTTATAGTATTTTTTTATCTAGTTTCTAATAAATTTAAGTTTGGTTTTTATTTCTTTATATAGATTTTTTAATTTTTCTATTATAAAATAGCTTTTAGATAATTAATCTATCTTAGCTTATTCTATAGGTATCAGAGGTAAATTTAAAGTTAGTATATACTAGAGTAAGCTTTATACTTTTATATATAATATATTATAACTTAGCTATATAGTTAGAAGCTTCTTAACTTAGTTATTTTATTTATAGTTAATATAATATTAAAGATACTACTTTAGTATTTAATTTATTTATTCTATTTATTTATTAACTTATACTTAGAATACTATAATAAGTTAGTAATTTAATTTATATAATTTATTAGCTTTTCTAAAACTTAAAAGTAAATAGCTATTCTTAATTAGAGAGAATTCTATTAGAGTCTATAAATACTAATAATATTTTATAAGAAGATATAGATAAATTACTTTATATCTATTAATTTCTAATAGATATAAAATAGGAAAATTTATAAGTTTATTTATAATAATAAGAATACTATTATATATAACTTAATTATAGAATCTTCTAATAGAGTAGTTTTATAATAAAATCTATAGTAATTAAATTTTAAGTTACTTAGTAACTAGTAGAGCTGTAATTCTCTATATAATTTATAGTATTAAGCCTTAGTTTTTTTATATAATAGATATTATTTAGTAATTTTTTATTATATTTTTATCTTAGGAAATTAGTATATTATTCTAACTTATTAAGAGTTTTATTAACTTCTTAATATCTATATAGGGAAGTTTGTATATTTCCTATATAATTAGTATTATAATTCTCTGGAATTATAGCTTATTTATTTTTTTATCTAGAGGTAGCTTATTATTATATTATTATATCTATTATAGAGTTTATTATATTTATAATAATATAGATATTTCCTAGAGTTTTCTTTATTTTCTAAGTATTTAGGTAATTATTAATTATATACTAAGTATATTTTAAAGGCTGTAGTATTATATATTTACTAATAAGTTATTATAGTATATTAATACTTCTATTATAGGGCCTTTTTTATATAGTTTATATAATCTTATATTAGTATAAGTAGGAATAGTAATATATTTTTTTATATCTAATATCTTTATTTATTTAGAATTATTTTATAAAGTCTTAAGTTATACTTATTCTATATATCTTATTTAGGTATTTAAATTAAGTTATATTTTTATATACTTATAATATACTTCTACTTAAGGTATTCTTTAATATTAAAGTTAAGAATTATTTATTTATCTTAGGCTTATTAGTATTAAAGTTAGCTTATTAACTAATAGTATTAGCTTATTTATTTTCTAATTCTTTTTATAAATAATTATATAGTTAAATTCTAAAGATATTTAGTATATTATAGTTATTATCTACTAAGTTTTTATATAGTTATAAAGTAAGATATATTTTTATAGTCTATATAAACTTTAATTTTATATTTACTTTCTAGAAGGTAATATTAAAATTCCTTAAATAAGTTAATAATTATAAGAAATTCTTTATTATAAATAGAATAGTTAAGTTTATACTATATATTTTATAAGAAAAAAAGTAATAGAGTATAATAAGCTTTTATTATCTCTTTAACTAATTTAAGTATTTATATAAAGTTTAATAAGTCTATTTTAAGTTTAATTTCTTATTTAAATTAAAGGTTACTAATACTAGCTTACTTAAATAATATTCTTAATAGTATTAAATACTTTTTCTATAGTAGTATTTATTAAAAGTCTACTTCTTTTTTAATAAGTTCTATAAGTAGTATAATATAGCTACTAAAGTTCTTAATAAATCTTTAGTAGTAATTAGTAAATTTAAGAAAGAATTATACTTTCTTAATATTTATTAGTTTAGCTATTTACTAACTATAGCAATTTTCTTTAAATTTATTCTAATCTTATTATATAAGATAATATATCTAAGAAACTTTACTTCTAATATATAGAAGTTACTTTTTCTAGTTTAACTAGTAATTTTATATCTTAAAGTACTTATAATATCTTATAGATATATTCTATATATTCTTCTTTTAAGTTAGAGAAGATTAGAATATTATCTAAATAGTATATAATAAATATATCTAGATACTTATATAGTATATTATTAATTATTTATTAAAATATAGCTAGTATATTTATAAGTTTAAAGAGTATAATAAGATATTTATAAAGTCTAAACTTAATTTAAAAGGCAGTTTTCTATTTATATTCTTTCTTAATATAGATAAGATTATATACTCTTTTAAATTTAATACTATAAATACTTCTTATTATAAAGTTAGTTCTTAAGCTTTATAATAAGAGGTAATAAATTTAGTTTTAAGTATAATATTATTTAATTATTAGTAATTTATAATAAGTTGGAATTTGCTATTTTTTTAGGAATAAATATAACTAGATATCTAGCTAATAACTTAAAGATTCTAATATATTCTTTCTATAATATA